GCAAAGTCATGACCCGCATGGGTCTCTGCAGGAGTCATGTTCTTCAACTAATATGATGTGTGCGTGGCCTGCCTGCTTGTCTTTGGGCTTCAGCCCATGCCGGATTCGAAGTGCCTTGCGGCGCTCTGCGAGGTAGCCCGTCTGTAGGATCAAGTCCTTGTAGAACTCCTTGGAAGAGAGCACTACAACCCTGGCCGTTTCACCAGTGTCCCTCTCAATGTCGAATCTCGGAGAAAAACAAAGAATCGATCAAGGAACCTTCAGCAGGCTTATGCGCCTTGCGCTCTTTTTTGAAGGGCATCCGGACATGGCTGCTCAGGCGAAGCTTGCTCGTGCCCGTTTACCAATCATGCATGTTTGAGCTCGTAGTTGACTGGATCGACTTGTCAAATGCTCTTTTGAAAGTGTTGATTGCTTTGTATGACGGTGGAAGCGACCCTGATTGGCCATGCGCATGCTGTTCAAACAAAGCTGCATCTGGGAGGTAAGTGCATGGCTGCCACGTGTGCACGCGAGATAAAAAGGGGGGCCGGACCTTGAGCGAACAGCTCATCCGGGTCAATCAAGTGGTCGCCGTCCAACACTTCCAGAGCACCTAGGGACACACGGGAGATGACATGTTGTAGTTTCATCCTGCTGACAACAACTAGGGTTTCCACGTCTCTGCAACGCCCTTCGCATTGAAGTACAAATGCAAAGGCCTCAGCCCCCACGCCCTCAAAGTCGATCGATCTATATTAATTCACAATATGAGTCTCCGGCCACTCCAACTCGCTCACGTCGAAGCCGTGCATCGACATCAGACAGGGCGCATGATCGATCGGACCAAAAACCCTTGTGTTAATCCGAATTGGATCGATTGGGGGCATTGAGTGATGACTATAGGTTGAAAGGGTCGATTTAAAAGCTCACTGGCTGCTTGGTCACCACCACAGAGCCCAAAACCTGCAAAGAAAGGCCTTTCGATCCTTCAAAAGGCCGAGCCGTAAAGGCCTTTGTTTTAAAGGCCTCCGACCCCCAGGGTAGGGCAAGCACACACAGGCCGTCTTGTCTAGCTACCTGACACGCAGGGTGAACCAGTCTGAAAAGAAGATGGTTCGGGTGCATCCACGCTGGACTGGTGAAGCTTGGCTGAGAACAGGAAAGTTTAGTGGGGCAGCCCCACGCTGAAGTGGCGCAATATAAAAACGCAAGTTGAAACTGGATGCAAACCTAGTATAGAAAAAATGGCAACATGCACGCTGGAGAGGAATATTGTTAGGCCAAACTTGGTTGCGGTCTGGCAATAACGTTAGGCAAGAGCATCTGGCACATTTGCGCCGGCCCGGCGCAAGTCCAAAGGCACAGTGGCTACAAATAGGGCAATGTCAGTAGAAAAACGGGTTTGTGCCGGCACGGCGCAAATCTGTTGCAATATTGGCCACTGTCAGGCAAGAACGTCACACATTATGTATTGCCAGCTGCTGGGCTGGTGTGCGTGTGTGTGTGTGTGTGTGCGGGTTTGCGCCGGGCCGGTGCAAACCCCCATCTTCAAGTTGGACTTGACCTCGCCTATGTGTAGCCACCGTTGTCTTTGGATTTGCGCCGGGCCGGCTTGAACACACCAAATGTTCTTGCCTGACTGCGGCCAAATGCGCATTACATTTCCGCCGGGCCGGCGCGGACCCATTTGAAAGCTGACATGACTTTGCCTATTTGTAGCCACTGTTTTTTTTGGATTTGCTCCGGGGTGGTTCAAATGGGCAGGGTTACGAGACATACTGGAATGACAGGTAAGGTGCTCGCACACACACACACAGATTCACACATATGCACGCACACATGTATGCATACACACACAAACATGGCCTCTGTGTGTTCGAACGGACATTGAGTTGCTGCAACATGTCTATTTACGTGTTTTGTTACACAACCCTTTCCAATACCCAAAACCTCCCTTTCCAGGCAAAACACATAATGCAAAGTAAAGAGGCCACAGTTTGGTCTAAGATGCACATGGTTGTTGTTGGGAAGCATTTTGCATTTTTGCTTATCGTGGTTTAGTGGTGGAAATCCAACCACTTAACTACTAAAATCTAATTTGTTGCTCCCCTTCCAACGTCAACCAAGAGACTCCGATAAAACGAAAATCGCCTTCCCCTCGCAATGCGTGGCAGGAATCCGAACCACTGACGACTCGTTCACTCAAACCAACCCGACTCCCGTTCGCCAAAATGAGACGCAGCATTTTGCCGCAAAAACAGTTTGCCTAGATGGTGCTGACATTCATACCTTTTGGAGTCCACTCGCCATTTCACACCCTAAAGAATGTGTTTGCATGTACTCCTGGAGCACCCTTCGTTACCTAAATTTCTGCCCTTAGCCCAAACGTATTGCAAAACCAGGGGTCGTCACCAACATATGGTAAACGTACACTTTTTCCTGCTTCGAGCGTTTTTCCCAAAACCGGGCTGGTTGGTCCTCCAAGATGATCTTTCGTTGAATTGTCGAAAGGAGCGAGCAGAAATCGAAGTGCAAAACGAGCGCAACTATCCGCAAAACGAGCGCAAATATCCGCAAACGAGTGCAAATTTAAAAACCGTAACAATGCCCGCCTTCCTCTGGATGGAAGAAGGGGATTTGGTCGAGCGTTTTTCGGGGGGCGAGCGTTTTTTTGGGGGGTCGAGCAGAAATCGGTGATTTGAGCGTTTTGTTCTGGTACCTTAAAAAAAGGGCACGTTGGGTGCCTCAGGCTTGTTTATGTTATAAAGAGCTCTGGGCTCTGGGGGCAGGACAAGCTCATGAGGGTCCGGTACTTGAGGATCCCTTGTTATTTCAGACTGGGATTTTGGTGGAAATTGCCGATGTATGCGGGCCGCGCCGGGCCTTCCTCATATGTTCGCTTTGTGGGTAGAGATGATAGAATTTAAAAAAAATTGAGCGGGGGGCCACTTTTTTTTTTTAAGAGCGGGGAAGTTGTGGACGATCAGGTAGCAGTCACCTTGGACGGGTTGTATTTTAGAGCTACCGAGGACCCCCCAAGGCTCGGGCAACCCTGGGTGTTGAACCTCTGAGTTCAAGCCAACATTTTCAGGACCTTTCAGAAAGTGAAGCACACACACAATCAAAAGGATCCATCGCATGCGTCCCTGAAATCAAACGCTATTTGGCCTCTCACAGGCGATGTCTCGCTTCGGGTGGGCGTCCACACCGTCGACCAGAAAAACAAGAGCTTGCTTTGGGGCTTGAGCCGGGAGGCAAGCACTAGTCTTTGCATGGCGTTTGATTTGTTTAGTTGCTTGCGGCTGTTTATGTTTAGCTCGGTCCCCCGTAGTGCCCTTGCCCCCTTTTTTGGGGGAGGGGTCCCTTATTCTAACCTCTCTACTGGAGAACCTAGTTGGTGCACTGCCAACAACTTTGTTCTTGCGCCAAAGGCCAAAGGGGAGGGGGGTGGAGTTTTGCTGCAGAACGCTTTTCGGGATTGCTAAAGGGAGAACCTCATAATGTAGGACTAGTTTGAGGGGCTATGGGTCATGCACAACTAAAGCGATCTTGTGGTTTGGGGGTAGGGGCCAAGCACGTGTTACTACAGGACTCGAGTTCATGTCCAGAACCTCTCAACAGGCTTATTAGCAGCTAGTTTGGGCTCCCTCCCCCCTCCCTTCCCTCCCCCCAGGCCCCATGAAAACCTGTTGGGGAGTATGTTCTTGCTTCTTGGACAATGACTGGGGTAGACTTAGGATACAATTTACATTTTAGCAGTGACTCAAAGTGAAGCAAATAATAAAATATACTTTCCATAACTTTCCCTAACTCCAATCATGTTTTGTTTATTAGTTTTAGCTTTTTATTTTTGTTTTTCAGGGTCGGTGGCTTTTCGGCTTTTTGGCTTTTGTGGCTTTCACGTGGGTTTTTGTGGCTTTTGTGGCTTTTCATTTCGCATCATCTGCATTCACAGTTCCTCTCTGTTCGCATCCTCTGCATTGCCAGTTCCGCTGCGGCAGGTGGCTTTTTGGCTTTTTGGTTTTTTGGCTTTTGGCGGCTTTCTGGCTTTGGCTTTTCGCATCCTGATGCTTTCCCAGTTGGTTTTTGGCCTTGGCTTCCTGCATCATCAGCATCGCAAGTTCCTCTCTGGGCCCCCCGCCACCCCCCTTTCGATTAAAATGCACGCCTAATTGAATCATCACTTTTTCGATCATCATGCGACAGCTACTTTTTAGATTCTTTGCCCCTATTTGTTCGATCATCATGGGGGGGGGTGGCTGCCGTTTTACAGGGATTAGTTTGCCCGTATTTGAATCCTCACTTGTACCATGAGGCCTTGCCGCAGAGGAACTGATGACCCCCCTGCTGTTTTTTTTTAAATTTTTTCTTGGCCCTACTTGAATCATCACTTTTTCAATCATCATGGGGGGGGCTGCCGCCCCCCCCAACCCCCCCGCGATTTTTTGGACTTTTTGCCCCTAATTGAATCATCACTTTTTTCGATCATCATGCGACCGATCCTTTTTAGATTCTTTGCCCTAATTTTTCGATCATCATGGGGGGGGCTGCCGCCCCCCCAACCCCCCCGCAATTTTTTAGACTTTTTCCCTCATTGAATCGTCACTTTTTCAATCATCATGGGGGGGGCTGCCGCCACGTTTTAGGTGTTTTACAGGGATTAGTTTGCCCGTATTTGAATCCTCACTTTTACCATGAGATGCGGGAAGCCAATTTGCTGGTGATGCTGGGGATGTTGGCTGGACATGCGGGGGATGTTGAAAACGATGCTGATGATGTTGACGGACTAGCGTAAAAATACGTACATTTCGCGAGAAAATGCTGTAAATTACAGCATTTTAGTAGCCAGGACGGAAAACAAAAAAAATCCCAAAATAAAACAAACAAATACCCAAATTAAATCTCGACCCTTTCAATGGTCCTGCGCGTGGTGATCCCCCCCCCCAAAACGGGCCGCCGCGCACCTCGGGAGCCTCGGGCACCTTGGGCCCCGAAGGAGCCGAGTCTCGGCTCAGGTCATGGGCGGCACGGACGAGCGGTGCTGCAACACCAAGGGTCGGGGCCAGGCCACTCCAGTGCCAGGCGCCGGCGGCGGGGGGGGGGGAAGGCTTGTCAAGCTCCCCTTTGGCTGGAAGCTAGGTCCCCCAGCGATTGGTGCGTGCAACCTTTCTCACCCGTTTCTTTTTTGGTTGGGAGGGAGGAGTTCCCTATTAAAATTGACTACAGACAAAAAGGGTACCCTTATTCTAACCTCTACTGGAGGACCTAAAAAGGGAATCCAAAAGGAAGCAAACCATTTTTTGTTTGAAATCCTTACTCTTTTTCTGTTTTTCTCAAAAATACTTGTTTATGAGAGGCGGGGAGTGGGCCCTGGAACGCGGTTCTCAGCTCAAGGCGCCAGTGGAATCTCTCCCCACAAGGATACCCTCTGCACTGCTTGATTGGATGTCGGAGGCCTGTCGAATGGGCCGAGAGATGGACACGTTTCCCGATGAAGAGGTTGGTTGCAAGTGCGTGGTTCCCCAAGGAAGCTAACCAAAAGGGATACCCGCCCGCGAACTAAGTAAATTAGTTGACCTTTGGCCGGAGTTCCAAAATAGTTGGTGTCAGTTAGTGTTTGTCGGGTGGGAGGTTTTTCTGGGATCCCTACCTCCTTTAGACCCAAAGCCAATTACAAGTAGGGGAGTGCGCCCCCTTGCATCACTCGTTTTCGTCGCTCGGCATGCTGGACCCTGACAGCACTGAAGGAGATTTTCCTTGCCTGCCTTGAGCCGGCAAAGCCAAAACGAGAAAACACCTGCGCTGACCATTGCTCCTCATTTGCACCTCCTCGCATATCTTGGATCGGCCTGGTTTCCCCGGTAGTGATTTTTTTGTGGGGCGCTGAGTTGTGAGGCAGTTGTTGGTGAAAAGTGCCATTGCTTCTGAACACACACTTGCCATGGTGGATTAATTTCAGAATTGACACACTCAGAGGGGTCCAACTAACATTTTCTGACATGAAGCATGAGCCAGAAGAGTCCCACTTGGGACTCATGCAGTCCCAAATTGATTGTTGAGACCTATCTGATTGCCCCATGATTAGTTTCACAAAAATCCATCAGAGCCTCCCCTGCCCCCAGCTTCCTCCCCCTTCCAAAAAGGGGTTCCCCACAACTTCTTGGCAGCTGAGGTGAAGCAATGCGATCCTGCCTTTAACACGACCTGTGTGGCTCCAAGCAAAATGCAGCTCATTCGAGCCATCCAAAACGCATCAGGTACTTCGCAGGTTAGGGACGCCATAGCTTAACCCGAGGCCCCAAACGCCTTCCCACCCCAGCAGGGGATGTAGTCAGTGACGCTTTTCGGTCGACCAAGGGAGACAGCCCCAAAGGGGGGATCGATCAACTGACGCGATCGCAAGCTGTTGAACACAGATGGGTTTTCGTTCCCTTGAAAGGGTTGTTGGGGAAGCATGGCAACCGAAGCCCGTGCTCGTGGTTCCGATTGCTCTTTCGAGCCATGTCCAGACTCGATTTCGGTGTTCATCTTGGTCTCCCTTCAAAAACTCTAAAACAAAGAGGTTCCTCCCCCCAAAAAAGAAAGCACGAAAACCGTACTCCTTTCCTCCCCCCGTTTTTTTGGTTTAAGTTGTCAGTTTCGGTTCGCCAGCAGGAAAAAAACAACAAGTATTCCTTGCCCCCAATTTCCCTCCCCCCCCCCCCCGGGTATGTCTTTTTCCATTTAAGTAAAAAAAACTTTTCCTTGCCCCCCCCCCCCCCCCCCGGGTATGTTTTTTTGGTTTTTTCCTCCCCCCGGGCGCCCCAAAAAAAAATCCAAAGCCCATGCACCCAGAGGCAGCGGTCAGCAGCTCGGCCTGGTGAAGGCCTTCAACACCAAAGGCCGGTCAGAGACCTGGGAGCGATCGGTGGTTCGCCGGTCGGTCCCTTAGGTTTTGTTGTTTGGTTTGTTTCGTGGGTTTGGTGGTCTTAGGTGTTTTTTGGTTTGTTTGTTTTTTGGGGGGGTGTTTTTTTATTCTCCCGGTTTTTTGGTGGGTTTGGTGGTCTTAGGTATGGTCTTAGGTAATTTTATGATTCTTGTGGGTTTGGTGGTTGGATTTCGTATTTCTGACCCACAAAAAACAAAGCCTAACAATGAAACTGGGGGATTTAGTTGGGTTTCTTGCTTTGTTTTTTGTTTTGCGTTTGGTGTTCTCTTTTTGGTGGAATGTTTCCGATAAACTATGAACGACCACCATTTCAGGGTGCTTGTTTGCTCCAAACGGAGGTCTGGGGATGAATCAGACCTGCTATGACTGGTTCGACTTTAAAGCGGGTTCTGGCCGCTTGCGCATGGCAAGTATGTGTGTTCAGTTTGTTTTTCACGTACGATTTCGGAATCCATTTGCTAAAGCCCATTCAAGAGGACACCCGAGAATTGTAACGAGCTCACCGATCCGCAGGTAGAACCGGCTCACACCGGAAACCCCTTTGAACCACCTTTCAAGGGTCTCTTTGCTTTCCTGGGTGCGATCAATTGGTCTGTATGCTTTAAGATAGAGGACCCCCCCAAAATGGGCTTGAGTTTCCTTTTGGCTTCCTTTTAAACCAACCTACCCTCAAAAAAGACATCCAGCAGCAATTGTATGCCGAAGCTCCCCTTTTGTTCGGCACCCCTTAGTTGGTGGTTTGGAATGCGGGCAAATTCGAACCCCTCGTTCTTGTTGGGTGTAAATGGATGTGAATGGTAGCCCACCGCTCCAAACCAAGTAACTAGAAGCAGCTGACATTAAAAATAGAAACCGGGACCAAAACGCCAAAAGCTACGCAGACCAACGCTGAAGAACACCTGGCCCATGTTCCCGCCACCCAAAGCAGTGGCTCGTCAGCCTCCGAAAGGGCTGGATGGCCAAGCCCTTCACCACTTTAACTCGGCTCCAAACCCCTGGGGCCCTTCTGGGATTTTTCTTGAGCCAGGTTCACTGAATTTGAACCAGAATCAAAAAGAAAAGAGTGAAGGGCACAATCTCTGGTCCCATCACATAGGCCGATTTCAGGTATCAGCCTAGGGCTACCTTCCATTTCCATTATGAACCCAGGGATCCGGATCTTTCTAGAAAACCTCCGGAAACCCGGTTTTTGAAAGAAGGTTGGTTGGAAAGAATGGGGAAGCAACCCCTGGCAGGCCTGCTTCCAACCTTCAAACCACAAATCACGAAAGCTAGCTTTAGCTAGCTGAAGTTTCTCCTTGCGTAAGCAAGGTAAGGGGCTCAAATGCCGAAAGATTGATTTTTTCAATTATTTGAGCCGAAAAGATTGAAAAACATCAATTATTTAGACCCGCCCCCCCCCGGTCTCAGGCTCGATTCCTCCCTGGTCCATCCCCCCCCCCCCGGGCAGTGGCTCAGTGTTCAGCAGTCTCGGTTTGCCCGTTTTGGACTTGGTGCTACGAACTTTTACATGTTCCACCGATTCAGCTTGTTCATTTGAGACCTCAGTCTTCTCAGTAAACCACCTCGCAAGAATCGTTGCACACGCAGCATGCAGAACCCAGAGGTGCTTTAAGACAGCTTCTGACGCCTCTTGTTGTTTTTATTTTTCAAGGTTTGCCACGCCACCATGTGCGTTTGCGTGTCGCATCCTACGAATCTTGCCGGGCCTCTCGTTGTACACAAGCTACCCATGAATCCACTCTGTCACCGACCCATCTCATGCAACAACTGCTAGCTTTCGTTCACCCGCTCCTCAAGTTTGTGGGGTCCGATTCCTGAACCTCATAGACACCACGAACCCGAATGCAGACAAATGAGCAACCCCAAGAGCATTCCCAAAGCCATTCCCAAGGACATGTCTAGAAGGACACCCCAATCAAAAGCAACCCAAAAAAACAACAACCCTCAGCACATGCCCAAAACCATAGATACCTGCACGGAAAAGCATTCCAAAGACACGCCCAAAAGCCTATCTCCCAAGACCTCCCCAAGACGTTCCTACAAAGTCATCCCCATGAGATATGTTCAAAGACAAAATCGCCGAAGGCGTCCCCACAAGCCACCCTTAAAGACACCGCGGCAATGGCCTCCAAAGTTAATTTTTCCAGAGACGTCTCCCCCAACCGACATTTTCTGAGAAACCGACACCCGGCCGCATCTTCCGAGACATGGCTGGAAGAGACCCGCAATCGCAATGGAAGACTTTTGGGGGAAGGTTCCCCTAGTAAGATAGACTACAGAAAAAAAGTTGGCACCCTTCTTCTAACCTCTCTACCGGAGGACCTAGTGCCTTTGGCATCTTTTGGCGCTCGCAGGTTTGGGCTGGATCCAATGCATGGACGGCTCTTTAGCCTGGCTGGACCTCGCAGACTGCGTAGGCACGCGCCCTGTCACAGGACACCTGGCCGATGAGTGGGGCTGGGACCCCCATTTCTGGCGGGCATTTCAAGAGAAACTGAAGGGAAGCCGACTTATTTGCGGAGACCTCTTTGATAGGAACTCCAAAAAGATGGGGTGGGGTTGTCGAAAGTTTTAGGGAGGATGTCATTTTCACCAAGCGCACTCTTGTTTGAGAAGTTCTCTCTTATGGACCCAGCAAATAGGAGCACAACAGTAGAAGGTCATTGTTAGGTGGGGGCAAACCTAGGTAAATGGGAGCTTAGCTGTTTTTGTGGAGACTTTCCCTTCGAAGTTTTCCCCCACGGAATCTCAGACCAAACCCCAAGGCCTATGTACCCCTTCTAGGTCCCCCAGCGATTGGTGCAACCTTTCTCACCCGTTTCTTTTTTTGGTTGGTTTTGGGTGCCTTTACTGAAATCAACTACAGAAAGCAGACACGGCACCCTTCTAACCTCCAAAACCGGAGGACCTAGCCTTATTTGCTCAAGTCTTTGGCTTATCAACTGGTGCAGGAGTGTGTTCCAAGGGTCCGGTGACTCAAGTGGCTGACCAGGGTGTAAGAAAGGCCTACTCGAGGCCAGATCCCCTCACACACACACACACACCCTAAAGGGGGTTGCCTGTGTGGTGAGTATGCACATCCGTATCATATATGTGTTTGTTCATTTGTTTATTTCTTTCTGTTATTCATGCTTTGCTTATCTAGTTCTTGTTTTGTAAAGCTAAAGCCGCACTGATATTGGTTCCGGGGGCCACTAGACACCCTAGGATGTTGGACACCTTTTGGGCGCCGGAAGCCAGTAGCCAATACAACGCCATGGCCCAAAGCTCCCTGTAGCCAAAAAACGGGGGGAACCATGCCGCTGAAGTCAGACTTGTTTGTAGGGATACCTTCCATGTCCATTCTTTCCAGGCATCCTTCTTTCCGGAAAACCTCCGGAAAACCTCCGGAAAACCTCCGGAAAACCTCCGGAAAACCTCCGGAAAACGACTCTTTGTTGGAAAGAAGGATGGTTGAAAGGAATGGGGAATCAGCCTATAGGAATTTAAGACCCGGCATGGAGCACGACCCTTCTGAATGTTAACCTGGTGCCGAAGCAACATGTTCGGATGAAAGGCCTTCCGGATGACAGTTGGCCTGCAGGAAGTTACGTGATGTTTGACACCCTCACCTGTTGTTGGCAGTCAACCCAACAAGTGCCGTCTTCGAGTATTGTTGCAGGGGTAAGTCTCTGGTACGTGGAGGGCATGTAGGTCCTGGGATATGTTCATTGTTTGTTCGTTGCCCGGCTTGGTTGTTGCAAGTTTGCAAGCGCCCAAGCGCTTCTCTTGTACTCCACGGTAATGAAGGTCGACCAGACAGATTTGATGTTTTGCTTGGCATATTTTGGCATCTTGCTTTCCGCTCAGGAACGCTTGCCGATTCATGAGCGAATTGATCCCTACTTGCAGTGTTTAGGGAGTCAACCATACTGCTTTCAGCTTGATATCATTCGTAGCTCGCTTTGCACGTGGTATTTGGGACACAGGTGTTTTGTCGTCTTCAAATTCCAGGTGTGGTGGGTGTCTTGATTTGTTGTTGGATCCCATTCGCGGATGAATGGCTTACAAGGAATTCAATACATTACTAGATCGCTCTTTTAAAATTTTGGTAGGTGGCCTAAAAGAAGACCAAGAGTCGACAACCTTTTGGCCATGGCGCTTTCAAGAGCAAACCATCCGTTGAAAGCACGCTTGGAAGTTTCTTTTGAAGAGCATGAAGAATAGACCCCGTAAGAATCATCCCAATTCCCTTCAACATGGAATCCGGGCAGGGTTCGATTCCCTTCCAATTTCCCTAACCCCTCCGATATGTTTGGCCCGAAGGTGGGCCAGCCGGACAGGATCTCACACTGAATCTCCCCAACCCGACGCGACGGCTTTTCATTGAGTGGTGTCCATGGATTTTACGGAAAAGAAAGCGTTTCCAAAGAGTTGGCGGTTTGGCAATCCCTTGGTGGCTTGCAGTGCTTAGGTTCTCGCTGAGATGGGAAGCCAGCCCGGAATACCTCGAAGCCACCAATCCCAGCCACCAATTGGCTTGGGCATTGGGATTTGTCCCAACTTGAGCCGCGCTTCACCGGGTTCAGTGACTTGTTTCTCCTTCCGCCCCTAAGCCCCTAAGGGCAGCTTATGGGCCAAACATGTGATGCTCAAACCCAGGAAAATCTGGGGGAAGCAGAAGCTGAGGCGACGCGGTGCAGTTCGACCTGCAGCCTAGCGAGGTCAAGGCTCGCATTTGGATAAAACCTTGGATTCTTGAATGGGAAGCTTCTCCTTTTTCGACCAGTGCAGCATCATTCCTGATCTCCCGGGACGGCTCGTGAAAACCCTGAAGTTCACCCGGGTTTATTCATCCTCATGTACCCTTCAAGGTGTGCACGAGTCACATACATCCATGCGAAAGAATGCAATCAGCCACGGGCAATGGGGGGTTGCATGGTTTCTGAATAACTTTAGGTGGCACCAAGGGTCACAGCTGTCCTGGCTGAATGACATCAGTCCTTGAAGGGGTGGGCCGCACCCTTCTCAATACATTCCCCCTTTACGGACACAAGGGAAATGATGAAAGGAGCGCCGCGTGTGTTCCCATTTTTTCGTACAGGATGAAGACCTGAGCGTCAAATGGCACATCATATTTTGTTGTTTTCAGAAGTGAACCAACAGGGGCATACTGGGGGTGGACGAAACCCTGCGGGTGGACAACATCCTGCACCAATGAACCCCTGGAATGATGATTTCGTTGTAAATGCTAGCAAAACAAACCTTAGGGTTTTCCGGAAAGTGGCGCGAACGGGTTTTACCACAGACTCGTGGTCCATCCACAGAACTTTCCCAGGCCGAATCAGATGTGTGGCCAGGTGGGCAAGATGCAGGCGGTGAACGTCACTGGGGGCACTGCGCCCATGGACCTCAAGGACGCCGTCTTGGGAGCCTCGGCTTTTGGGTTGGGTTCGGGTTGAAACGTGGCCAGATCCAACCCCCGAATCTTACCTCTTAAAAACACAACTTTTCAGCTTTTGGGGGTAACATGGGCTATATGTCTAACTTCCCCAGGGCTTGGAGTTTTAAGGGGTAAGTAATGTTAACCCCGGATTAATAAACCCCTGGTTGATTTTGATCGGGGGGTGTCCCCTTTTAGTGGTTGGATTCAGACCACTTTTGGAGGGAACACCCCCCTAATAATGGGACGGGTTGATTAATCCTGGGTCAACATGATGTTGCCATGGCACCTGCCAGGGAAAAGGTTCCTTGGGCAATTGATCTGCCAAGTGCCTCCGCACAGGTGCTAAGGCAACGTGGGAGGAAGGGTAGCCCTGCGAGCCAAAGGGAGGATATGAACTCAATGTTTGCTCACATGGCAAGGGTTGGGAATACCGGGCAAGTGCTGTAAGTCGTCCCGGGTTGATCTAAGTCGTCCCGGGTGAGTGTGCCCGTTGTGCTTGTGGATGTAAGGATAGTTGTCTCAAGCATGTCAAGGATGTAGGGACTCACAATTGTTGAGTCGAAATAGAAGGATACTTCTTCAAACATGTTTAAACCAGAGGTTGGCCTAACTCTGGTTTCGGCGTGATAATTTCAATGGGCTTTCCGATCCCCTTTGAGAGGCTCGGAAAATGCGGATCCCCGGGACGTTTTTCTCGTGCTTACCTTAAAGCTAAGCCCCCAAAGAGCCTCACCAACCACACACGACTTTTGGTGGAAAGGCACGCCTTTCGGGCCGGTCGAAAGGACGTGCTTTGACCCACTTGGGTTCAGAACCCAAAACCCCGAAAGAGCTCACTTGGCCCCAGTTTTCTGGACTTACTGTGCTCAGAGAGGTTGAAAGCGAGTGCTATGGGGGTTCCGTAAGGGTGCCGAAGATGAGTACACACATGAAACTGAAAAATGGTCCACCAAAAGGATGCCAATGCTCACCCAGCTTTTGTGCAGTTGTTGTGTTAAGGGAATGGCTAGCCATGCAACTATCCAGACCCCGATTTCCTTGGCAACACCCGCAATCGCCACCCACCCCACCTTCCTTGAAGGGAAACAACAAGTTTCCCCTATTCTCTTCAGCCCGTCCATCACAGGGGGTCTTTTTGCCGCCTTTGGCGAGAAAGTTGGCGACCCCCTCAAAAAGGAATCCTTCACTACGAGGGGGTCGAACCACTTTTTCCACAAAAGGTGGCAGAAAGACCCCCCCTGGTCCATCACCCTTTCGCCAGTCTGTAGATGCATCGCTTCCGTTGAGTGGCGCATGGCAATGAACTCCCGGGGTTGGCTACATGCCGTTTATGCATGCTGGAACCATCCAAATGGCCGGTTGAAACGAAGACCACCACAAAGAAAAAAATGAGAGCTCCAAGAATAATCAGTTGAAAGCACTCAATAGGATTACAAACAAACCTCTTTGACGTCCTCACCCCTTGTGGCTCGCTTCAAAAGCCAAGAAAACAAACAGAAATCACTCACTTTGAGGAGTTCCTCTGTTTGGAGACAAGAAGGTGGGATTTGTAGGGCCCACAAAAGGGGGAACACACTGGTTCATTGACCGTTGCGTTTGGTCTCTTACCCGCTTCTGCAGCCTTTCCCAGAGCTGCTTGCCAAGCCACGATAGGTGAGCAGGCGGGACGTGGCGCAACCTAGGGACACAACTCGCCTGGAGGTACCCTCCCTCCTGCAGGTTTTCTCTAAAGCGGCCCTTGTTAGAGCCTGATATCGTAAACAAACGACGGGAGCGCGGGTACAGGAACGGAGGTTGAGCGTCGATGTCGCTTCAACAGATCCCTAAAACGAACCAACCACATGCAGGCCATTGTTTTTTGTGTTTCTTTCCTCGCCTTTGTCCCCTGTTGGTTTTCAGACATATATTTTTCTGGCAAACGGAGGAGCAACACATTTGCAGCTTATGGTTTATTTGCCGCATTCTCCCCTTGGTTTTCCAGGGAATCAATTCAATGGGAGGAGCAACAAAACTGGACCGGATCGGACCGGGCCGGCCGATTCGGCCGGAAAGCCGAGGCAAAGACATGGCCAAGGCCAAAGCTGCCTCGCCCACGCTGCAGCTGAAGAGGAACGCCAACGGCCATCTGCTGGGCTGCGCCGCCCGGATCGAATCGACGCGGATTGTGGGATGGGATAGGTTTAAGTTCCAAATTGGCTGAAATGAATATGTTGTTATTTCCCTTGTTGGGTTTTAAAGGGGATTTATCATTACTGGAAATATGTTGCCTTTTTCCACGGGGCTTAAGCAACTGAAGGGTTTTGGAGGTATGGATGCGCAACATACCACCACTATTCAATATTGGCTTGAACGGCAGTTTGTACTCCTTGGTGGTGTATAACCTCCATACCTCTCAAAGCCCCTCTCCCTGAAACTGCCCTTGAAACACAATCATTTCTGTGGACAACGCCCGCTGCACAACAGTTGTGGGTGGTTTGTCCCAGTGTTTGGATTGCTTCATTGGTGCATTGATGTGCGCCCGGAGGGTGTGGCGCGCGCATTCGATACAGGTAGTTGTGCTTATGCCAATTCCGTGTCACGCGTAGCTCTACCACGGCCAGTCACAACCTTCCTGGCTGTGCCTTAGACACCTCAATTGTTTGCTTGTGTGTTTTTTCAGGGCACCTGCCATGTTTGCCGTTTTGAATGGAAACCAAAGCCAAAGAGTCTGTTCCAGTTGTCCCCCCGATTTGATGGGCTGCGACCTTCACCACTGGCGGTCTGGTTGTTTTGGCTCGCCTTCTGTGACACTGTGCTCCACTTGTGTGACGCGACTCGGATGAATTCGTCTCTGACGGAAGCGGGACGGGCCCTCATGCCCGCGGCTTACTTGAGAAGCAACCAGCACTGGGAATTTATCTCTCAAAGAGAGCCAAAGGCCAAAGGGATCTCCATTCAAAGTTCCAAAGGGGCCTTTCCGATAGTAGTGCTGAATGAATCCTGGGTACCTATAAAACAGGCTGGGGCCCGAGTCTTGGGGCGGCAAACTGGGGCACGTGGAGGTCTTGCTCCGAACGCCTCGCACCAGCTCAGCGTGCACCGGCTCAATGCACTGACCCAGGAAAAATACGAGCATGATTGATTAGTGGTCCACGCGCACGACGCGATTTTGGCCTAGGGCACCTTCGGCCTTACTTTAGTTGGTTGTGCCTTCACGGCAGCTTGTGAACAACAGATGTTTCGGCCGAGGTCGTTTTGGGACCCAAGGTTTTGTTTTTATGGAGTGGCGTCCTCGAAGCGAGGCCAAGAAAGTCCCTGATTCGGGTCTGTTAAAGAAAGCACTCTCGTTGCGGGGCTTCAATGTCGCTTTGGGACCCGGACCGCGAACGCGTTCGATCTGTGATACTGCAATTAAATACTGCTTTGAACATGGTATGGCACCTCAAAACGGGGACTCCCAGACAAAACCATGCTTCAGATGTTCGCCAGCAAAGCCATTCAAGGCGCAGTTCCATGTTTCTGATATCCGAAATTACCCATATCACTCACCCGTTGCTTCTCCTGAGATGGGTATGAATTGGACCGCAGATTTTAGTCCTTGGCTCCACCGGGGTTACCCCATTTTTGACCCACAGCCAGATGTCGATTTGATGCGGCCCGCATCTGCGCTTTGATGGCGCACGCGCAGCTGGCGCAGCGGGCGCTGCGCCCCTGGCTGGTGCATGCGGCACGCCGGCCGCTGCCGAAGGGGGCTCCAGAGACCGGCCGCTGGCCGAAGGGGCCAAAGGGGAAGGCTTCATTCGTCTCCCACTGCTCAGTTGCCCAACTAAATCCCCTAGCCGTTTACATCCGTTATCATCCGTTCACCCTGTTTTTGGTTGGGCGGGTTCCCCTGCTGAAATACACTACAGGAAAGAAAAACAAACAACAAAACGGATCTGACCTTTTGGTTTTCCCGTTTTGGTCCATTCTTGGTGGAGGTGCCAAAAGGCTAACCTTTTATTTCCGGGTCCTTTGGGCAAGTGAGACTAAGATGGCACCTGACAGGGGGCCCTTTAGAACACTTCCAAGCATTGAGAAGGCATGGTCCCCTGGAGAAGCCTCGGGGATGAGGGTCCAGACCCTCGACCAATGCTAAAGTAGACCACCCAGACTATTTCAGTGCCAGGTTTCGGTTTTTGCTTTTGAGCCGAAAAAACTTCTCGACCGTCTCGGGGGGAGGGAAGTATCCCTCCAGGAAACTCAAGCAAATGGAAGGTTCTCACATTTGTGAGGTGAAGGGATCCCAATAAGAAAAACCTGCCAGCCTGGAGAAGCTTGAGGGAACCAACTCATTCGCTTCCCCCCCAGTTCCAATGAATTGTGGAGATCATTTCCCTCCCAGCTAACATGGGTTTGTGCACAGACCCCTGTAGAAAGACTACTTTCCTCTTGGAAAGGGCCTTTTTGCACTTCCATGTTGAGTATCTGGTTTGCCTCGGTTTTCAACTGGGCTCATATGAAAAGGTCTGAGTCGTGCTTGCGGGTTGAGCGTTTTACGTTGAGCGTTTTACGCCGTATGGCCGAGGCCCTTTGCCCGTGCAGACGGCCATGTCCCGAATCGGCGACGGCGACGGCCTGTTGGAAGTGCCGCTCTCGGCGCAGTTTGTGCTGGCGCGGTCCGGGCGGCGCGTGGACGAAGCTCGGAAAACTAAATTTTGCTTGCTGCGGCTGTTTGCATCTGTTTGCATACAGAAGGCAGGATCTTCCATTTCAATTCAAGGTGCATTATTTGTTTTCCAAGTGGTTTTGAATGAACATGTCCTTGTACTCCCCTGTTGGAATTTGTAGGCAGATGGTCATGACCGGTAAGCAAGCTTCCTTATTGATGGTGCCAATTGGGCCCTGCCTCCACGTGTTTAGGATGCGGAGGCGGCCGAGCTGTGGCGGGGCTTGCGGGAGAAGGGCATCCTGTCGCTGTCGGGGCGGGAGCTCTGCGATTTCTTGCACGTCCTGGGTACGGCGCGGCAATTTGAGGGTCACCCAGACGTGGCCAAGGACAGGGATAGACTTGCGGTGCCTTTGTTGTCTTTGCTTGGGCCGATTTTGGACATCAATTCCCAAAAAGTTTCAGTTTTCCACATTGGCACTGGATGTTTGATTGAGAGCCCGAGGGATTTGCAGACCTGATCTGGGGTAACGTGGATCTGAAAGAAATTTCCTGGCGCCAATGCTGCGACACCAGGGGAGCACCCCTTGAAGTCGTAAAGATTGCCATAGGGATGGAAACGCTACTTTGGAAGTACAGGCAGAAAGGGGGTTCGTTTGACCCATTGCGGATCCCCGACAAAGGGACATAAAGGAACCCTCCCCCATAGCTTCCCGTGTACATATATATATATATTCCCTGTGCGTGCAACGGACAAAGTGAGTTCTTTTTTTGCCAGTTGAGGTGGGGATGTCAGGTGTCTTCAGAACGCTTCATTGCCAGACCTTGCTTGGCCTTTCGACCTGTTCGCCTTTGTTCCTTCATATGGTTTTTGCACCAGCACACAGTTCACAGTTGTTCAGCGGCTCTATGGCCCAGGCTTGTCGTCTAATCCCCCGTGAGGCTAGAGTGGTGAAGTGGCAGGCTACCCCTACGGAAGGCGTGTACTCATCCCAGACCTCCGCTGGTGTCCGTTTGTCGTTTCTTGGACGGGGGAGCAGTCCCCCGTTAAGATCAACTACCGAAAGAGGTATTCTTTGGTGGCCAGTGGAGGTTTGGGTCATGGCTTTGCAACGCACTTAAAGGGACCCCAGTGCATTCTCTACTAGGTCCCCCAGTAGTGCCCTTTTGCCCGTTTTTGGTTGGGAAGGTTCCCCTATTACACTAGACTACAGAAAAAAGGGTAACCTTATTCTAACTAACCTCTAACCTCTCTACTGGAGGACCTAGTCTACATAGCATTTGCTCTGTTCTTGCATTAGCTTTTTCTCGTCATTTGGCAGGGTATGGGACCATGGCATATTTGCCATCAGGTATATTGTCAAATTGGAACAGCTTCTGGGCGTCCCGACCCCAGGGTAGATCATTGCACAAATCAAAAGGACCTCAATGTGCAACAAGCTAAATCAAATTGGAGGTGGTGACGCTTTGAGTATATAGGTAGCTGTCAAAATAGGAATTCGGACCCAGAATGGTGGTTCTGTTGGTTTCCCGTACAAACCAACCTGAAAAGGGTGCCCTCACAGCAACACAGCCGCATCCCTCGTTACAGTTTTCAGTTTCTGACGTTCCCTTGTCCTCCGGCGCCTGGCAAATGGCGACGTTTGCATTTCAAGCACTTGACCATTCAGAGTCGAGTCCTCAAGTAGTTGCACTTCTGCCCCAACCCACATCAGGCCTTCATGCAATAATACGAGCGGATTTGGAACCAGTCTGGGCAACCAGGAACTCCTGATTCTTGATGTCTGCTTCTCGAGGTGCCCTTGGGTTTGCAACATTTTGCGCCCAGCAACGGCAAAGATTTGGCTCCAACGGCTCAGGTTCGGGTCCAGCCGGCTCAGGAGCTTGCGCAGTCGCCGTGGGATCGCCACGGGGAACTGAAGCTTTGGCCGCAGACGCTGCCCTTGGTCTGCGAGTAGCTTGTCGAGCCCCGGGCTCACCGCAAGGCTTAAGATTCCCTGCGCGGCTTCGGTCGACGTATCGCAGAGGTCAGCCAAGCTTATCCGGTTCCTTAGCTTTTTAGCGGTTTAGTGTTTAGCGGGGGTTTCCATTTTTCCCACTAATAGTTAAACTTTGAGCGGGGGATCTGAGGGCAGCCCAGACTTTTTGCAGGGCGTTCATGCATTTCCCGGCAACATGTTTTCTTTTTGTGTGCTGGGGGGGCCTATTTGGGGAAACATGACCGGAGCAGGCTCTAACTCTGGGTGGTGGACCTCCAATTCCCACGTGAATGATGTCCCGCAAAGGGTCCATTCCCAATCCAAATGAATTCCCAATCTTGGAATCTGAAGCTTCGGCATTCAGAAGCGAGGCCCAGGCATTTTCCCAACAGCTTTTGAGACACTTTCCTCGGCTTCTTCGGGTTCGTACAGTTGATAGCTGATAGCTTTTTCACATGTACCCTCCGCCCTAACATGGAAGCTTCCAGGAACCCCTTGAAAGACTAGGTTCCATTTACAGAGGCCTTCTGGCAGCTTCCATGTTAGTCTGAGGGAGTGTAGGTCAACCTGGAACCCAAACAATCCACCCACTTTAGACGAACCTCCTCTTGGGTAGCTCCCCTTTGAAGTTTGATTTATTTTGTAATCCATGATCGCGTGCGGGAGGGGAAGGGCCGCTTTTCATGGAATTGGGGGATCCCCCCCACCCCAAACCCCCCGGCCCTTGAGGTGAGGGGGATTCCTTGTTCGGTATTGTTTGATGGTTTAAACGCCTCAAAAGACGAGGGGGGACAGTTGTAAGGTACTTGGTTCGACACCTCCGGGACCGAGCCTTGCGACCTGGCCAACACGGAGTTCAGGGAGTCGATCTTCACCAAGGGAATTGCCACCGGCTACACTCACCTTCCATTTGCTTAAGACTATTTGTGAGATGTATTGTTTTTTGCTTAAAAGCCAAGGGAACCGCCCTTAACCCAAAAGGAGCTGGCTACATATCAGGGAAACTGTGACGCTTAAGCAAAAGGATGTCACCAAGTTGCGTTTTGGTTCAATGGAGGTGACCCACCAGAGATCCTATTGGGGCGCACCCTCCTCAGTGTTTCCATAGTGCACTAGGAAAAAGCCGGAGTGGATTTAAGGACCTACCACAACCAAGTAGTAGCTGGTTGGCTAGTTAGCCACTTGGATAGCTTTTTTAGTTAGAGGGGCGGGCTTACCGGCAAGCTGTTTTCTTTGTTAGTAGGCAACCAAAACAAGCGAGGTACTTGATTGCATCTCCTTGAGTAGCTTCGGCACACCCGCCAGCTATTGTCAGTTCCAAGCCCGGCCGCTTCCCCAAAAGTGGACTAGCTTCATGACTCAACGTTTGCCCGTTTTCCATCGTGCGTATAGGATTTAGAGGTGAGTCACAATCAAAGTTAGTAAGGGGCAGTCCGAGCCGGAAATAGTTGCAGCCGCCTTTTCAATTCCTTACATGGTTCTGGGTTCATCATTTGTGTACCAGGTTTTGATTGTGACTCAGGTGAGTCGGGGCCGAGGGATCCGAATGCTCCAAAGCTTTTGGCGCGGCCTTGGCAGTGGGTCTGTTTTTTTGAGTACCTCTTCTTTGTGGTTTCGAAGGGAAGCCAAGAGGAACACCACACAAGTATCTGCGGTTGACTTCTTTTGGATGAGCCACTAGATTTCCAGGCGTGTTTGACCTGTCCAAGGCAGAATCAACATTGAGGCTTTTTTGTTTTAATGAAGGGGTGGCAGGTTAGCCAAAACACAAGGTTTCTTCTCATTCTGAGAGCAAAGTCATATACAGATTCCAGGCCGGCTCGCAACAGGCAGCCAGAAGTGTTTTAATTACCACAGGGCTCCTTAAAAGATACATTTTGCCCATTTGAAACATGGCTTTTTCCCCAAAATCAAGTTGGAAGCCACCATTTTCAAGTTGCAATGTTCAGGTGTTTTTCATGCATCCGGATCCCTGTTACCACTACTGGTATGGTCACATTTTGGATGGCTTTCCTGCCTGGCTCGAAGATGCTCGAAGTCGATTCGCTGAAGCCAAGACAGGTGCTGGTCAATTGCTGGAATGAATATTTGTTTACTTTCCCCTGTTGGTTTTAAAGGGAATCTATCACTACTGGAAATATTTTATGTTTTTAGCAAATGGAAGGAGGTGCTGGTCAATTTAGCTGCCCGTTGGGTTTTATTCCAGTTTTTCCATGGTTTGGCCAAGTAGTGCCAAGGTCTCGACCAGTGATCACCTGATTTCTTATTCCAAGCTATAAGAAAAACACCATGCGGTCCGAATAAGTTGATGTGCGAAAAGGACCAAGCGTTGCAGTGACGACTCATGGCCGGCCCCCGTGTACTTGATTTTCTGCGGTTTGGGGACATGGAAATATGACTTGGCTACTTCTCAATATGGGTGGGTCAAAATCAAACCAGGAATCGGACCGCAGGTTTTCGTCCATGTTTCCATTTACCAGGGTCCATTGTAGGTGCCTATGTTTGACCAGTCTGGTCCATTTGGGTTTTGGGAAGCTGGGGTAACAAAGCCATTGAGATTCACCGAGCAAGGGGTGCGGAAACCACATGTTTCGGCTGTGGCCCATACTCCATCGCAAATTAGCATGTCGCCCCGAACAGCAGATTCCTGTACACCTGAAGAGAGACTCTCGACATCCAGGTTTTGGAAGATGCTTGGATTCGACCATCAGGATTTCTTTTTGGCAGAACCTCTCAAGATCCAGGTATTTTGAGATATCATGGTTGTTGTTGGGGAACATTTTACATTTTTGCTTAGTGTGGTTTAGTGGGAAATCCCCACTTAGCTGCTAAACTTTAAATTGTTGCTCCCCTTCCAACCTCAACCAAGATATTTCGGGGTGGAGAGGTCCCGGCGCAAAAAGAGACTTCTCGGGCTCCACCTGCTTACCTCTTAAAAAATCAATCAACTTTTCTCAACTTTTTGGGGGCAACATGGGCTATATCTCCGTAAAAGATGAGAACTTCCCCAGGTTGCTTGGAGTTTTAAGGGCCCAAGCCATGTGAATGTCCCTCGCCCGGGCTTGGCCCACAGCTGGCGAGATGAGCGGTTCTCAGGCTGGGCCGCTTCCTCTCCGCGGGGCTGGTGCCATTCTGGGAGCTTCACCCTGGAGGGGGAAATGGGGTGGAGGTGTTTGGGGTGGCTGAGTGGAGGTGTTTCCTTTGTGAAAATACCCCTTTTGTGTGTGTGTGTGTGTGTTTTTTTTGTTTTTTTTTTTTTTGTGAGGGTACCCCTTTTGTGTGTGTGTTTTTTGTTGTTGTTGTTTTTTTTTTGTGAGGGTACCCGTTTGCGTGTGGTTTTCAAGGGGAGCCACCTGTTTGTGTTGTCTTTCAACCATGCCAAAAGGAAAACCGGCCCAACAAATTCGGGGAGCCCTGAACAAGACATAGTGAATAGAATGGCTAGCTTGCCATGTCTCAGTGCCACATACCCCATTGGAGAAGCTGTGAACTGCCTTTCCGCTTCTGCAAGCACCACATGGGATGAATGAAGCCCGTGACTACTTGGGTTTGTCCATCCATAGAGGCAGCAAAGGAGCACATGTCATTTTGACGGAACCTGACACCCCATCTGATTTAGGTATTCACCGTATTCACAGCTTATCACTCATTGAGGCTCTTGGCCTTTTGCCTTTTGCCTTTGCACCAACCTGCAAGAGGTATCAGAAGACGACACACCCGTACTCACCCTTGGTGATTTGGTGGTTCGAACCTTGCCTTTCCTGGGTTTCAACAAGAGGGGTTCAAATCCCCCACCAATCCAACGCCCTAGTCCATCTGACCTTATGGTGGGTCCATTAAAGCGGTGGCAGGGTTCGCGAAGGCTTCGGGGTAGCCTTCCTTTATACCGCCATTTACAGGACCCTGTTGAGGATGTCGCTTGAATGGATTGAGAGAAGGTGCGCTAAAACAGTAAGACAAACACAGCACAAACTGTAATCGGTAGTAGGTGAACAGTATCAGCAGCAGAAACAACAGCAAAACCATGCCGATACAGGAACGCCACAGGACATTAATCTTTGCAGGGTGTTATGATACAAACAATAGCGATCAATGAATCTTCCATGATGGCCTGTCTTTTGTGGTTCTAATTGTGGTTTCATTGTTGGACTTTTCGGTGAGGCGCTAAAAAGACTACCAAAGGACTAGCAAAGGAGTACTCAAAGGGTACCCTATCGCAGCACCAACGGAAACACCTGCGGAAGTCCACTTTTGCGGGCACCGAAGGAAAAGTGTATTAGAGGCGTACTAAAGAGTGCGAACCTTAAGGAAATCAATGGGCGTGCTTACAAACCAAGAACCTCAAACAATGATAAGCTGTGAATCACCAAGTTGGGTAAGGGGAATATGGTGAATATTTTCTTGCTGATACACTCAGCTTGGTTCAAAAAGGGAAATGGCATACCTGAATCTGTGACAAGTGTTACCCTTTTCGATTGGTTCAAAAAGGGAAATGGCGTACCTGAATCTGTGACTAAGTGTTACCCTTTTCGGTTGGTTCAAAAAGGGAACTGGCAAACCTGGGCCCTGATCGATCGATTTCGATTTGGAGGACTAGTGCATGGCACCTTGGTGCCCCACCACGCCATGGCGGTTTCCCAGGCCTGTGCTCAGGCGACGGCAGTCGGCGACAAAAATAGGGTGGAGAGGTGGTTTTTGGGTGTGTTTTGGTGGCGGGTCGTTGATGGCTCCCCCCCCCCAAAAAAAAAACAAGGAGCAAAAACAAGCAAAAAGCGTCCGGTGATACCCTTTTTGTTGGGAAACTTATCTTGGTGCTTCTTTTGGTCTCTGAATATACTTCAGGTAACCCAGCTTGGTGCTTCGGATGGGCAGCTTGGATTTGGATTTGAAGCTGGCTCTTTCTTGTAGAGGGTAGACGGGAAACCACCCCTAACCAGAAAAGCCACCAGTCCAAATTTCCAATGAGTCGAAATCTGAGATGTGTTCCGTGTTCACTTGTGTTATTGTGTATTTGTGTTGTGTTGTTGATCTAAATCCTACATGTTAAAGCAAAGCCTGGTCATCTTATGAGACTTCGCAAGAAAGCTTTGTAGCTTGAATGGTGTTGGAGCTGCCAAAAGACCAAACTAGCTGACCCACAGGAAAGTACCGCTGGTATCCATTGCACCCCCCACACGCTGCAGACTGCCAGGTGTCGCTGGCCCCCGAGGCTCGGGTCCTCGTCTCGTTTGAAGGTCAAAGGGAAGCTGAAGCCCGTCGCTGCTGTCCAAAGCGCGGTTGACATGCCGCCAACAAAATTAATCATCCGAGGTGCACTTCCCTCTATCTGAAAAGGCTTGGATTTGGATTTGTACAGGGTAAATGGGGCACCACCCCTCAAACCAACCAGAAGGAAGCTTACTTTTTGCTGGATGGGGCACCACTTGTGAAACCAGCTTAGTTGCATATCAAGTTGTTCAATCTACAGTGAATTTGGATCCAAACCATTTGTTAAATTTAGCTGGTATCTACGGTTCACCTGGGATTTCCGGTCTGAGCACTGCGTTTCTTGGCGGAAGTCCTCCCAAACGGACCGTCGTCGCGTAGGCCACGGAGGTGGTCCGATCGGCGCTGAGCCGCTGGACGGAGGCCAACTGCCCGCGCCTGGGCCCCCGCGGGGTGGCGAACATGGCGCTGGCGCTGTCCCGCACCTCGGACCGGAAAGGCGCAAGGCGCAAGGCGAAACGCGCGCGCGACGTTTCGACGGGGCGACCGGGTGCCATGGACAAGCGGGAGCCTGGTTTGCAGCCAAGAACCTTGGAGAAGACATTTTACTCATGAGGCGGATCCCCTTTTTTCATTCGCATTCAAAGCGAGGTCAAAGGGAAACTAACCAGATTCGAAGACCAAATGACAGCGGAAAGCGCCCTTAAGTCGCTTGCAACGTAGGGGTATCAAGCCATAGGACTCCTCAGATTCTGCAAAAGGATGTGTATTATGGCCGTGGGTCCGCACCAATGGTACCATTTTGAGGTAGGAGCACCACCCATTTTAGTCGATTTTATTGGGGATTGGGATGTTCACTGGGGGTACGGGGTTTTGACCCATAGCCTTATATAATATAAGATATATATATATACGCAGCATTTTCAGGTGTACATTGGACCCAACCAACATCTATCAATTTCAGGAGAGTCAGCTTCCGGATTGCTGGGGAGGCGTTTCGGAATCGCAAAGCGAAGGAATCCCGCTCAACTGGGTGCCATCAAAATCGTGGACTTAGTTCATCTGTTCCCACGATCATGACCCCAAATGGACAGACAGTGCAAAGGGGTCCCATTTGTTTGGTCCTGGGCTTCCATTAATTTGAGTCCCCTAACCGCATTCCTGTTCCTGGCGCAACGCCATGTTCCTTGGCAGCCATAACCCCCGTCCAACTCGCCAACCAAACCCCCAACCCCCCAACTTCCCTGTGTCTACCAAGGCAGCCATGTCCAGGTGGCTCAAAAGCGTCAGGAGTTGCACGTGCGTGAGCAACACCCTGACAGCGCTCCGAAACCCCCAACCCCCCCTAACCCCCCGAACCCCCCCCGCCCCCCAACCTCCCCCAACCCCCCCACCCACCCACCTCCCCCAACAGTCAGCCCCTCAACCCCAGGTCTCCGCGGCCTGGGCGGCGAAGAGGCCAACGCCCGGCTGTTGCACCAGCTGCTGATCCGTGCTGGGCAACTGCTGGATGAGGCCCAAGGATCTGCGCAGCCCAAGGACGCCCAAACGAGACCGCCAGACAAGGCCGTAATCACCTGCAGGTAGATAAATTAAATATGTGTAGGTGTGTAGGTCTATATGTGAATTACATGGGGGGGGTTGTGTGTTATTCTAAAGATGTGTAGGTGTGTAGGTGTAGACGTAGATGTTGGCACTACGCGTACATATATAAATATACATGGGCTTGTATATATATATATATACATATACACTTCTATTCTGAACTCCCCCTTCCTCCTCCCATACTGGATGTCAACCTCGAGGCTTTTTTTGGGGGTGCCTTAAAAGATGCACGTGGGATCATTTGGGCTAGTCAAAAAGGGGCTTTGAGCCGCTGGTTTTGAGGATCCCCGTGTACCGCTAGTGGTTTTTGGATGTATCCTTTCAATTAAGGAACCCTGTTGGTGTGGGCGGTGCCAATCCAGGGTGGTTCGCCTTTTGTGTGTGGAATTGTTCGCCAGTTCAGGTGTGATTTCTCAAATCACGGTGCTGGAGCAAACAAGTTGACACTGCTATGCATTTCAATGAAGATTGCCTCGCCAATCTTTGCCGGACACTCCCCAAAATGGACACCGAAAAAAGGCCCCCCACGCAAGTTCCAGGTTCAAGCATGTTCAAGCCCTTTGGCTTTGCTTTTTCCATCGCAGGTCAGGAATCTCAAAATCGGCGGCTTGAATTGGTTTGCATTTGGAGTTAAACCCAGTCTGGAACTCCATTTTCCCAGTCTATGGAACAGGGCAAAAAGAAATGTACCACAAAAACAGTGCCCGGAAGATTTTGGAACTCCCATTTAATCCATCTCTGGCTACATTCATCCCTTTTGATGCAAAACCCTCCCCCAGTTTTTGTTTTCCTCGTTTTTCCCCAAGTTCCCTTTATGTGCAAAACCCTCCCCCAGATGTTTTTTCCTCTGTTTTTGCCCCAATCGCAAGGAACCCTTCCGGGTGCTGAGCTTGCAGTTCTTCCGCGCGGACTGGCTGGGCATCTTTCTCTCCGCCTTGGCCACTCAGTTTTCAGTGGTACCGACTCGTTTTCCCCGTATTTTTTTGGGGGGGGCCTGTGGCTCAAACATCTCCCCCCCTCCCTCCCCAGCATGAAGGTTCCCTTTTTTCCCAGGGTCACTGAGGCCAAGGCCCGGTGCCGCAAGGAGCCCGAGACCTTGCGGCGGCTCCTCGAGGCACCGGAAGTGGCTGGGGGTGGTTGGGGGGGGGGTAGGTGGGGGTGGGCGGGGGGGCTGTGGCAAGGGGGGGGGCCGGGGGGGGGGGGAGGAAGCGACTGGCTTATTGTTTGTTTGTTTTTCTCCGGACTCCAGTTTTTGTGTTTGGTTGCGTGTGTTTTTTTTGTTTGTTTGGTGTTTTGTTTTGTTTTGTGAGCCTTTGGGTTGTGAAAGGTTGCCTAGTTGCATGTTGATTGGTTTCCGGAGCTTGGTGGGACATTGCCCAGTTGCCTTAGTGCTTGCCCGCATGTTTATTTCCCCCAAAAGGAGACCAGCAGGACGGGGCAACGTCCTTGTGGCACAGGGAACGGGGTGCTGACATGTGTCCTAAACCGACCTGTCCAAAGCCCTTTGGCCTTCCCAGGAAATGCAGCCACTGGGTTTGATTTACACATGTGGTGAGACGCACCCGGTTTGCGTCATCTCCAAATCCAAACCGTATCAGCTGTCAGGAATCCTCAGCCCCACTTTGAAAAGCATCTCGTTTCTATAGTCGGCCTCTTTGCCGGAAATCTGGTGCTCTGGAAAGCCGACTTGGCTGTAATGTTGACCCCGGATTAATAAACCCCGGGTTGATTAATAGGGGGGTGTCCACTTTTAGTGGGGATTCAGACAACTTTTGGAGGGAACACCCCCCCTAATAATGGAACGGGTTTATTAATCCTGGGTTAACATTAACTTGGGCGAGCTTGATAAGCAGATCACGGCTTCAAGAGTCCGAGGAGCAGCTCATAGGGGCTAAATAGATGCGATGGTTAACCCCCCATGTATCGATGTGTATGTGTGTACAGATGCATGATATACATAAATATAAGTATGCGTGTATGTCATAAGAATAAGGAAGCTTGTTCTTGAGTACCCCACACCCTACTCTTTCTAACTTTTGCCCTGTGCATTGCATGGTGAAGCAACAATGGTTTCAACATCAAGTTAGCCCAGCCCAATCGCGTGCTAGTGTGACTGCAAACTGATGGAACAGATCAGGTGCTTACCAATACACCTACGTAATAGAGCAAACCTTGCCACAGTGCTAGAATCTAATGTTAACAAGTGTCTGAGAGCAGGCGCTCGAGTGTTGCAAGCGACAGGTACTTGTGCTTCCTTTGGCTGTTTGGCTGGCTGTTTGGGCTGGCTTGCCTAAAGACTTAACGTATCCAGGCGGCGCCGGGGCGGCTTGCAGGTAACTTTTGACTTGTTCTGAGGATGGACCCCACGTGATGTTTGCCGAGGTGGGTAGTGGATGGCCTGCGTAGGACCATGACACACCTGTGGGGAGTAGGCTTCCATACCTCCAAATGGGTGAGAGTGGCCTTAAAGGAAATCAAGCGGACAACCTCCCTTTTTGTCGGTTTCCCTCTTTCAAGACACGCCCAAATCCCAAACCTAGAAATGCCAAAGACGTCCTCACCTCTAGCTCTTCAGCGTCTCTCGGAACCCTTTGAACAGACCCAAACACGCGGTTCTTTTAAGGTCATGAAATCTTTCCGCGCGGAGCCAAGCACCCTGAGGTTGCACCCACGAAGCCTATGGGACCCAAAAAGCCGGTTGCCGGGTCACATGGCTCGAGCCGAGCCCTTTGAACATGGGGACCCAAACAGCCCCAGCCGGGTCACCATGCTTCGAGCCACCCGAAGCCTTCGAACATGGGACTGGGACCCAAAAAGCAAATTGCCGGGCCCCAGTTCCCGGGTCACATCCGACGCTTCGAGACGAACGAAATGCGAGGTGCATTTCCCGCCCTTCCGCGGCAAAAGTCTGCTGGCCTCTGAGCCTCAGAACTTGGCCCTCAGCGTGCATACCGTGCTGACGCTCGCTCGTATGTTGCAGTCTGCAGTTTGGCGGGTAGGTCTGTTGGGGTACCCCTGGTTTTGGTGGGGTTTAAAGGAAAGCCAAAAGGAAAACCAAAGCCCTTGTTCTTTTCTTTTGTCCTTTTTTTTTTTTTGGGGGGGGGGGGGTTGTAGCCGCTTTGTTTATAACTGTTTGTTTGTGCCAATTGCGGGTTTTGTTTGATCATGTTTGTTGGCTTGTCTTGTAACATGCGCAACTTTCGACAGTTGAGCTGTCGTCTTGTTTCGACGTGGCTGGAACCACATGATGGTGAGAACTTTCGACATGGCCTGGACTTAATCCGGGGCAATCCAGAGATCCAATGGATGCAAAGCACATGTGCGATCTCTTTTGATTTGATCTCGCTAAATATAGACCCATGAAGTCGGGAAGAGCATCATAATGCTGCAAAGGGTTAAGGATGATCTAGCTTTTCGTGGGGATTGCACAGGCTCGTGTGGTGTTCTCTGGTTTGTTGTGCCTATAAGAATAGTTTCCGAAGAGACCTCGGTTGAAACGGTGTGACTGGTACGCCTTTGACCGCTGGAACACGAATCCGCCAAAGGACCATCCTGAGCGATTGGCTTTGGGCGAATTAACTTGGCAGGTGCAGTGATGCCTCCACGAGAATGTTATTTTTAACCATCGATCTTTTCAAAAACCGGATCTGTTTCCCCTGGGATTTTGATGGTTTCCTGAAAGGATTTTGGATCCCTGGGTTCAGAATGGAAATGGAAGGTACCCCGAGATCATTGGTCACCAAGCCGCTTTGTGCTAGGCTGACATCCCTTGCCTGAAAATATCTTCCCATGGCTAGGGAGTTACCACATGGAGTCTGACCCCAAGAAAAACCATCCCTGGCTGGTGGTTACCTTTCCTTTGAGGCGATTCCCTACCTATCGCACCAGCAAGTTTTGGGTGTCTTTTTCACGGCTCGTTGGGGACCAACCCAGGCCTAGGCTGATATCCCTTGCCTGGGGATCTCAGGAGGTCCATCCCTTCAGGTCGATGCCGCCAGTCGGATCGAATCCACTGACCTTCCGATCCTTCCGCTTCGAATGTTACCCTCACTCCCACTTGACAGAGGCTCCCTACAAGAGGAAAATGATCTTCCAGGTGCCCCAGCTGCTACGTTTGTGGAAGGGAGGGTAGGTCCCCAAAGATTCTCGTTTCGGCGCCCTTTCTCCCCTTTCCATTAAGCTTCGCTCAGCTTAGATGAAAACGGATGTCTCCTGTCACTTGCAACTGAACCTCAGGGCAGACACAGGCCTTCGTCGCACTGACTGGAAACCGACTGTCTGAGCGTCTGAGCGTCCGACGGGCCCTAGGAAGTTGGACTTGTTGCGCCTGGACTTGGCGGGCTCACCGCCCTTGGTGGTCTTGGCCCCGGACGTGAAGCACGCCTTGCGTGGCCTCAAGGCACGGTTTTCGCGATTTTCTCGCTCTCTCGGAATTTCTTCGGTAGGCCGGTGGGCTCGGCGGAGTTGAGGTAGGCCGGCTTGTCCTCGATATGGCCATGTTTTTTTTTTGTTTTTTTTTTTTAATAAGGAAACCCCTGGAAGGTGGTTGGTGGACATAACACCCCCACCTAAATGATGTCCATCAGACAATCCCTAATTAAAATTCAGCCCCATATGAGCGGCTCGGCGGTTTTTGGGAATCGGAGCGCCAACATGACGCAACAGGTTTCTTCTTGGTTCCACTTTGAAGCCACCAGCAAGGCCCGAGCCTCCGAAAAGACAGCGTTCCAGTTTCTTGGATTTCTAAAAAAAAACAGTCTCGAACAAGCATCCAATGTCCCCATGTTGGGACGAGAGTACAGAACGATGAAGCCATAGAAATGAAGATGGGGCACTACCATCCAGTTTGACGATGTTTGACGCACAAAAGGGGCCAACGGACACAGGGCTCCTTACAAGATACATTTTGCCCAGTTGAAACATGGCTTTTTCCACCAAAGTAAAGGGAAACCACCATTTACAAGGCAATGATGTAAGGATCCCTGTGATAGCACTACCAGTTTGACAGTTTGACGCCTAGGGGCCAACGGATAGATCCTAGGTTGAAGTTTTTTACTTTGACCCCGACCGTCTTCCCAACCTGCACAAAAGTGTTGCCTTTGGTGTTTTTTTTCCCCATGTCTGAACCAAGAGGCGGCGATACCGTGATAGGTAAAAATGGCACTGCATACATGTTCGGGAGGAAGTTGCAAGACTTGCGGACACGGACCGGAAGGAAGAAGCGCCAAAGCTCGAGGATGCCCCTTCTTCCACGAATAATCTCACGTTTCCGCCTTTTTGTGGTAAGGTGAAGTCTCCTTGGGAATGTTGACCAGGGGTCCCTTCAAATTCACCGATTTTTGTGTTTTCCTTGCGGTTGACGGGGCACATCCGTTTAGTTGGGCGGCCCGTGGAATTCCATTTCGGGTTCCCATCCTTTTATTTTGGGGGGGAGACTGCATAAATGGAATTAAGGACCCCATCCCCCTCAAGGCAGGCCTCCCCCTCATGGCAGGACCCCACCACCAAGGCAGGACCCTACCCCGGCAAAATCACCCCCCGCCCCAGGCAGGACCCCACCCCCCTCCCTCTACCCACTCACCTGAACTCCTATCAAGGGCCCCACCCACCCACCCCAACCAGAGATGACATATCGTGAACCCTTGCCATCGAGGGCGCCTCCGGTGCGCGCTCCGCCTGCTTGCTGGCGCATGCCTACGGCAGTGCCCTGCTGCTCGCCGAGGCCGACCGAAGAAAAGCTGAGCCACGGGCTTTGTAACATGGGTAGTTCTAGGGACCCTTCCATGTGCTTAATAGTTTATATCTTTCCTTGTTGGTTTTAAAGGGAATCTATCACTACCGATTTTTATTTATTTATGTTTTTGTAAGATTTTTTCCAGAGGGCTTTAGCAAATGGATGTCCTTCGAATGTGAAACTCCTGCTCACTTTCGACCAGTTTATAGCCCAGTGGCATGGCCAATGAAAGGTTTGGGAGGGGGATGTTTTGGAGAATGTCATGAGTTTGACCCAAGATCATTAACACTCTAGGGTTTGATTCCTTGTCCATTCTTTTCAGTCATCATTCTTTGCAATAACCGGCCGTTTTCCTTGGGCTTAGTGAGGCTTTTGGAAAGAAGGATCCCTGGAAAGAACGGGGAAAGTACCCCTAGAGTAGTAGGTGTGTCCTTTTTGGTGGGGATCCCCCCGCACAAAAAAAGCAAGAACAGCGGTGATGTCCCTTTGGTTTGCTTCAAAAACCATTTGGTTTCCCTTTAGCTTTAAGCCCCCCCCCCAAAAAAAAAACAGCAAGAAAACACACCCAGTTGTTCAATGGAACCACGTGCTGATCCCTTCTTGTTTAGGCACTTTGGTACCGACGGAAAGCCGGCAAACAACTCCCTGTTGCTCTGCTATCTGGGGTAGTTGGGGGGTTGGGTTGGGTGGGTTGGGGTTGGGGTTGGTTGGGCGGGGTTGGGGTTGGGGTTGGGGTTTGGGGGGTTGGGGGGGGCAACTGAACTTCGGGGGATAGTTTTCTTCTAGGAGGGCGCCCTGTCCAGGACTGAGTCGGGGGAGTAAAAGTGGGATGTTTGCCTATGGCACCAGTTGCGTGTTTTCTGGTTGAGTGGTTGCGTGTTTTGTTTGAGGTTCACTACTCTTTTTGGGGAGGAGGAATGAATCAACGATCCAAACAGACCAAAGCGAAGCAACTGGCGAAGTCCATGCCATTTCTTTTGCAAGCAAGGGGTCAAATTTCGGGGGCACACACGGCCAACATGGCCTCTGAAGTACCCAAAAATGGAACCGCGGTAAATGGAAACATAGACTAAAACCTGCGGTCCGATTCCTGGTGGTTTGATTTTGACCCCTACCCAAAACGAGCACAGCCATTTCCGATGCACCTGATGTTTTTTTTTCGATCCGTCGACCTGGATTTAGGAGGCTCAGGAGCTGCGGGTCTATGACGAGGTGCTGCAGAATTTGTTCGAGCTGATGCTTAGCATGAAGCTCTCCAACATCCGCGCCTTCGGCCAACCCAACCGCTGGACTACGTGCTTTTCTAGGTCCCCCAGCTAGGGGCAACCTGTCTCTCCCCTTTTTCGGGGGAGGGAAACCCCCTACTAAAAATAGACTGCAGAAACAAGTTGGTACCTTTTTTTCTAACCTCTCCACCGGAGGACCTAGGTATGCGCTTTTGCGTTTTTTGATGCTACACTTTTTTCAGGTATTCTGAAGAGCCACAAGGCAAACCTAGTTTGACACCTGTCCACTTTGTTCCTCCAAGACCTGGGTGCACCCCAAAAAACAGTCCTATGCGCCCCCTTGGAAGTTGAGACGCGGCATCACCTTGGCTTTTTCTGGCATTGGGTTTCACAGCATATCGCCTCAAGTGCAGAACATGTATTATTTTGTGTGCGTTTCCGCTTCAACTCGACAACTTCGGTTCTAGTTGTCTCTTTCCCCATGGTTTGCTTCAGGCTTAACACATCTGGATGTTGCTTTTTTTTCCGCTGGGAAGTGTACTAAACAGTGTGTTTCTTTCATTGTTTCCCATTTTTCTTCCCATGTGTGCTTATGTCCCCGTTTGTGTGCTTCAAAAACTCTTATGGGGTCATGGTTGATGTTTTTAAAGGGTTTTAAAGGTGACATAGAACGAATCCTGTGCCATGTTTGACTTCTCTAAGATGGTTTTCCACCACCCCCAAACCACCCCTTTATATAGTGACCAGTGTTTGTTTATCCCATTGCACGCTTCGGGGTGGCTTGGGTTGGGTGGACACCATGTTAGGACCTCTGTTTGGTAGGTCATACCCATGGGTATAAGTGGACTACACCCAGTTACCCCAGTATAACCATGGTCGTAACCTACTTTCTCAGTTGCTCAAACCTACTGTCAATCCGAGGTTGGCATCATTTAGACAAACATGTCAACCCACAATGGGGCTGTCCGCTGCTGGTACCCCCGGTTTTGTCCAAACAGGCCTTCTTGTCCAGGTGAAATCCTGTTGTTGTTTTGGATTTTTCTGTTTTGCCCCTTTGCCTCACCTGCAGCTTCCATTTTCCTTTAAAGGGAGGTCCCCCCTGTTGTTTTTTGGGCTTGCCCTTCCGGCTAAGCCCATGCTCTAGGCCTCCGCTTCCAGCTGCTGTCGGCTGTGCAGTGCTGGTTCCTGGTGCGGGGTCCCACCGCCACCGTGGCGCCGCTACGCCGGGCCCAGGCGCTGCTGCGGGCCGTGGCGCCCCAAATGCCGGGGCCGGAAGAGCGCCTGCGGATGAATTTTGGCGAGCCGAGCGCTCGGCGTCGGGCTAGTTTTTGTTTGCCATATGTTTGGTCATATTGTTTGTCATGCTTCCATATTTTTGGGTGTGTTCTTCCATAGTTTGTCATTGTTTGGTTTTTTCAGTGTGTTTTGTCAATGTGTTTTCCATATGTTTGCTGTGTTTGTTTTCCAACATGGGTCTGACCTTTGTTGATTAGGGACCCTTTGGGGGACAAAAGCCTGATCCATGTCCACCACTTTGGAGGGGGATTTGGTCAAATCCGCAGCCGTATTCTTCCAGTTTGTGTTGCCATTCCAGTTCTTTTGACCTGTGTGTTCTCCCTGTCTTGACTGCTATTGGGTTGGATCTTTAGACTTTAACTTTTTTGGAAATCAAGGGGTTTTCCACTAAACCCCCAAAAGTTAAACTTTTTGCAGGGGGTCAACAGCAACCAAGCTGTTGCCCATACTTCGTCAACGTCGCAATACGTGAACCTTTGGGCAAGTGAGTCTTTGAGGAGTGCCTGTTTGTCATGTTCAAAACCGATCCTAGATCCCTAGCGTCCAGTAAGGGATTCCCCCCTTTGAACCGTGTTTTGGCCAAGCCGGAGAGTTCACCAACTTTGTGATGTTGACCTTAGGGCAGCGATTTTTCTTAGGCTCAAAATGATTGCTTCCCCCTGTCGGCCCATTTCTTCCAACACTCGGCTCTTTGACCTCACGCGGTCCATTTGTCATGTGAGGTCCATAGGCGACCAGGACCGGTCTTCTTCCGCCGGGCGCGGGCGGGCGGACGACTGATCTGGTAGACGCCCCTTTTTGAGTGGACAAAAGGGAATCTCTCTAGGGGCACCTTCCATTCCGTTCTGAACCCAGGGATCCGGATCTTTCCAGAAAGCCTCCAGAAACCCAGGGAAAACGGATCAGGTCTTCAAAAAGAACGATGAGTGAAAAGAATGGTTGGAATCAACCCTTGGAATCTCTAACTCAAAAGGGGGCCCCTAATGTCAACCCCTTGTTATGAACGGGATTCCTTTTTTTTGAGGGGGACCCCCCAGTGAATTAATGACTGGGGGTGGTGGAACAAATCAGCTCACTGAGTTCCGTTTCGGACTTGAGTCGCTTGGGCTTGGGCCATTTTTGTGTTATTCCCGGATTGATAAACCCCTGGTTGATTAATAGGGGGGCCGTTTAGGGAACACCCCCCCCAATAATGGGACGGGTTTATTAATCCTGGGTCAACATTTCAGCTCACTGACTTGAGTCGCTTCTTGGGCTTGGACCATTTTAGTGGTGAAACATATATTTTTTGCCAATCCACTGAGGAAGTGAGCTGTTGTGAATCGTTGGCAACCGGTTGCCTTACTCGAAGCTATGGCAGGCAAGGTGGGCCTCCTCAGAAACTCCGTCCCCGCTCCCGAGCCCGACCCGCCCTGAAAGGCTTATCTGGAGGAACGAGAGGGGGTGTTTGGAGGTTGGGGGTTGGGGGACGCGCCGCTATGTAGGCCTCCGGAGGACTCCTTTTGCCTTTTGAGGGGGCCTCCCTCTTAAATCAACCACCTCCCCCCTCCCCCACTCGCCCCCCCTCCCCCCCCCCAAAACAAAACAGGAAAAACCGGCCAAGGGAATATTTGGGTTGTCTGTCAGGACCTGATCAGCACAAAGGGCCACTACGAGGTGGCAGCGGCCCGGCGGCCTTTTGAGACCCAGCCCTGCAACATGGATGGGGAAAATCTCCCTAGGTCCCCCAGCCAGGTGCAACCTTTCTCACCCCTTTTTTGGTTGGGAAGGTTCCCCTACTGAAATACACTAGAGAGACTAGAGAGAAAAGTTGGTACCCTTATTCTAACCCATCTACTGGAGGAAAAGATCCGCTTCGCACAAGTTGATTTATTGCCACAGCAGGTGTTTGTCCATAGGATATCACAAAGCCTCAAACTACAAGGGCGCAGAATCATTTTGCACCAGGGGGATACAAAGCCCAGAGGTACAGATACCCAAAGAGTTCTGCCTCGTCTACCTCTGGAAAACGCACCGCAAAGCCTTCATGTCCACAACAGCCAAGCAGGTAACCCTTAGTTGGTGGTTATGTTTTTTTTTTGATTTAAACCTTTGGTTCTTGTAGAGGGCACAAGGGAAACCAGCCCTTTGCCTCCAAACACCAAGTCAAACCAGAGAGCTAAGGAGGCACTGCCAGAAGCTGTGCAAGCCCGGGCGGTGATGGAACACTTCGCCTTTCCCTTCTGGCTGGACATCGTGCTGAGCCCTTCCCGACAACCTTTGCCGGGAAAAGCGCGGCCAGCCCAACGGCCACGGGAAAAAGAGCCGGCTGACGAGTGACGTCGGGACCGAAATATGTTTGCTCCTTTTCCCGAGGGTCCAAGTACCTTCTAAGGAGGCACTTGGACCCCTTTTTCCCCCCCCAGAAGCCATCCTCAGGAGGTACTGGGTTTGGTTGTTCTTTGATTGATGTGCGGCCCGAAAAAAGAAAGCCTATTCGCTTCAGCAGCTTGTGGTCGGTCCCCAATTTGTTTCACGTGAGGCTTGTCCTGGCTGGTAGGTGATAGTCGGGAATTGGTGTGCTCATGCCTGATCCTGATTCATTGGATGAATCTAATTGGCAGTTGCACAAATCAATTCACATCGAACCAGAGAAGGTCTACGACGTTCCAATGCGCCTAGTGGAGAGAATGTCAGTTGAAGACTTTCCCTTGAGCAATTCAGGGGTTCAAGGGGTTCTCTTGAGACAGCTGCCAGTGCAGACTGCTGCTATGGAGCACCAAAAGCAAACACAGAAACAGATCCCTCTCTTGCAAAAACGAAGGGGTCGAAAATGGGGGCTGACCACCCCATGCATGACGTCTACATTTCTTCTCAGGCTCAAACCCCCTTGCTCGTTTGAGCAACCCAATGCCCCTTCCCTGGCTTCTCGAAAAATATGGAAACTGCGGGGGGTAGTGGGTGGGGGTTTCAGAGAATTAGCTGTTCATCCCCCATTTTCCTTGGGCGACTCCTCACTTCAGATGGTCACTCTTGTTCCTTGAGCACGGGAAAGACCTGAGCCTAGGTTTGTGCCGCCTGCCAGCAGAGCGGCATTTCGGACATCCCTGCCACTCGGACAATAGGCGCTTCGCCAACCTGGATTCATCCACTTGTGCAAATCAAGACTTGTTGTCTACTGAGGACATGAACGTGTTGTCTTTATCCTATGGCAGTTGGTTGCCGAGAACCAAAGTTTAAACGTTCAAGATGTATGGAAATCGGGTTATGTTGCTTCTGCAGCGGCACCGGGGTGCCGGATCAATTATTCTAAACAAAGGGACCACGTTTCAGACAACTGAGCAGGCCACATCCCAGCAGATGCTGAAACTCACTAAAAGCAGAGATCTTGAACAGGCCCCTGTTAATATTAATAGTGGCTGGAACCAACACAGGTGTCAGCTCTTCATACGTCAGGATTTGAACCAGGTGAACAGGACCATAAAGATGGACAGATGGTTGCTGTTTTACATTGTGACACTGCAACTTTGGCTTGTAGCGCTTGTCACCGTGTCCTTTCTCCGACGAGCCAGGAGGGATAAGTTCACTGAACTGTACCAGTAAAGTGCCTAGGTCCCCAAGTAGTGCCCTTTTACCTTGTTTACCTTTTTTTGGGGGAGGGTTCCGCTAATAAAGTTGGCTACAGAAAAAGTTGGTGGCTTTTTTCTATCCTCTCCAGTGGAGGACCTAGGTGTAATGTATCTTTTCGGGTGTCCCTAGCATTTTTTGCACCTTTTGGAATGCCTTTGCTTCAAGCAGGTTTGGTCCTTAAGCTTCATGTTGTTTAACCAGCCGGCGAGCTGGGGTTCGTTTCCCTTGTCCAGCTGCCTTGGCGCCGGACAGTTTCGGTTTGATTGGACACCACCTTTCACTGCTCTTGGTATTTGGTGTGGTATCTTGATAGATTCTGTTTAGGGCTGCGGCTAGTCGAACAGGGTACAGAACATGTTCCCCCACCACAAAAAGAAGAGCAGCAAAGAGCAGCATCAGCAGCAGCGGCAGCAACAGCGGCAACAGCGGCAACAGCGGCAGTTTGGCAAAGTGCATTGGACGCCACCAGTGGCAGTCTGGCAGTGGCAGTGCATTGGACGCCAGTAATTTGATCCTTTCACTTGGGGAACACGAGTTTTGACGAATCAAGTCACCCACTGCCTTGGTCCTGGGCTTGCCCCGAGCAATAGCCCCTTCAAAAGGCTTCCAGCGAGGCAGCGCAGGGCCTGGAGAAGGAAGGCGCGCCAAGCCTCTTGTGGCTCGCAGACTATGTCACCCAGCTAGGTGCCCGACCTCTCACCCCTTTTTTGGTTGGGAGGGTTCCCTACTAAAGTAGACTACAGAAGAAAGTTGGTACCCTTATTCTAACCCCTCTACTGGAGGACCTAGCAGAGCAGCGAAGCAAACCAGGCTTTCCTAGTTTAAGCAGCTGGGCAGAAGCATCGGCAGACCATTGCGCAGTTGGTCTGTCCAACGGCTTCCTAGCATGGAAGATGCAAACAACTATGCAAGTTAGGGTCCAACAAAATCTTGGTGGCTCCCAGCCATCCCATAGCTTCTTAGCCTTTTAGTGTTTAGTTGTAGTTTCCATTTAACCCACCAAAAGATAGACTTTTAGAGGGGGATCTGAGGGCAGCCCACAAATGTCACTTGAATATGGCCAGCGTCGCCCGCAGGCCTTTCCGAGCAAGTGTAACTCAAACACCCACAGAATACATCCCGTCGTGCTAAATAGTCCATGTCTTTGACATGTTCCCAATAGGAGCCGAAAGAAGATGGGCAGTTGTTGATTTTTCCAGGTTAACTCCTGACCCTCTGGTTTTCCATGTTTGGTCCCAAGCGTTAACCCTTCTGGGTCCCCCAGTAGTGCCCTTTTACCCTTTTTTAGGGGAGGGTTCCCCTACTAAAAAGGGTACCCTTATTCCAACCTCTCTGGAGGACCTAGCCGTTATTTCCGGGTCCAAACCGGGCAACCGAGTTAAACACTCAGCACTGTGGGAGCTTGCTTCAGGTCACGGCGCGGGCGCTCGCTGCAGCTCCCGCCGCCGGCAGCACAGGGCAGCACGGCCCAAGGGGGTGGCCGGCACTTCGTTTGCTTGGCGGCGTCCCCCCGTAAGTGCGGTGTTTGTTTGACGGCATCCCCTTGGTAAGGTGATGTTAAAGGAAACCGAAAGGACAACTAAGAGTCCGGGGTGCCTTTTTTTTACCACACACCCAGGTCAACTCAAAAATGGCTTCCTTTTCTACCCGGTTCGTGGAACAGCTGAGTCTGGGGTGATTTGATTGTTGATGGTTTCCTGGGGTCAAGGTCAGAAAGCTGGGCTGCGAAGGGAGGGACTTTGAGCACCGAGGCCAGCAGGTGGCGTTTGATTTCTGAGCTTGAATGGCTTCCCGCAAAAACAAGGTTTGTCTAAACATGATTTCGATCAGAGAGTTCCCCTCGCACTAGGATGGAGGTGCAGAGCCCGCTTTCGTAAAAAGGAAGTAGCCTTTCAAAGAGGGCTACTGCCTGGGTGCTAAATGGCCCATGCTTTTGATCTCCCAAAGAGAAACCAAGCGGGCATGGGTAGCGTTGTGTTTTTCCAGAGCCCCTACATACAACAACTTTGCAAACCATCGTTGGTATTTACAGGGGAGGCATCACCCCAGTGGTGCGAAATGGATTTCGTCCATCAGTATTTGGCTCCCGGCTGCACTGAGGAAGACCTTCGGCAGCTCGCGGCCTGGCCCCTACAGCGGGGGCATGGGCAGTATGGGCCGCCTCTACTGAGCGCTCAGTGGCGAGCCTCGAGCCGCGGAGCTGAAAAAGGCGGGGCCCAGAATCTGACGAGCGACCCCAGCTAGGTGCCCTCTCACCCTTTTTTGGGGGTTTTGGGTTCCCCTACCAAAATAGACTACAGAAAAAAGTTGGTACCCTTGTTCGAACCTCTCTACTGGAGGACCTGGAAGAGGCTGATTCGCTTGAATGTTATTGGAGTTGGACGGGAGCCCAGGAGCACGGACACAGGGCGCCACAAAAAATGTTTTTTTTGGGGGGGGAAGGTGAAAGTCAAAGTCTACGGGCACGACCGCGCTTCTACCGTGGTAGGCTCTCCTGGCATATGTGCAAGGGTCAAAACACGTTATGTAGAGGTCTTCATTGCGGCCGCCGTGACATAACTGTTTTTTGAAAAACATGTGTGTAGCGACAGGGGGCCTTGAGTAGCGACACCCCTGTTTAGGGCTTGCATGTATGTAAGTCCCCATGGAACATGTTTGTAAGTACCTTTTTACTTGCATGGGAACGGAAGTACGTGCTGAACACATCGTGGAAGTCTAAGTCCCGGCTGCGACGCAAGACAGGTTTGAAGGATCTCGTCTTGGCAGTTTGAGCGTTCCAGTTTAAGAGGTGCTCCGTCGCCTTGGCGGGGACAGGCGACGATGCAAGCAAAAAAGAGGCACTGTGCTTTTGAAGTAGGGTTCCGGCAGCCCCTGGGAAAAAATCCGGCACCCGTAGCGACACCCAAAGCGACACCTTTCAGATTATGGAGCGACACCCAAAATCACTTCAGGTAGGCAGTTGCCCCTTCGCGTACTACACTTGTACTACAAAGTTGCGATTTTCAAGCTGGGGCTGCAGACGTGTACTTCGCGTGCTACACTTGTACTACAAAGCTGCGATTTTCAAGCTGGGGCTGCGGACGTGTGCTTCGAGTGCTACACTTGTACTACAAAGCTAGGAGCATGTCCTTGACGTAGAGGAGCCGGCGGGAAGTGACCGTCCCGTGTGTCGAGCAAGCACTACCATATCTTCCGCAGTAGCCCATGGGGAAAAGGCATGAAAGGAAGGAGGTTGAGGCAAGCCTCATGTACTACTTTGGTGCTGAAAAGCTGAGACCTTCCAGCCGAGATGCGAGAAATGAGCTGGCACTGTGTGCAGCGACAGGGGGCCTTGAAGAGCGACACCCCAGCCAGCCATGACAGCCAACCACAACACATGTTTTGACCGCCGCACATATGTTTTTTATACAACTGTTGTTGGTAATCGCGTGCTGTTTGTTTCTTTTGTTTGTCTCGTTGTGCATGGGGCTGGCTGCAAATAGCACGTTGTGTGCGTTTTGTTTCAACCAAAATAACCGGCATATTTGCCGTGGCCTCACCTGATGATCTGGCAAGCTTGAGGCTTTTTATAGGCAGGTTTCTTCGTTAGCTTGGTCAAGGCCTGCAAGGTTCAATCTGTGTGGCTAATGAGTCAACAGGTCGTTGAGTGGCCCCATTTTTCCATACATGGCATACCCATATCATACCAACAAATGGATAGGAAAATCAAAGCAAATAAAACAAGCAATAACTCTTCATATTCAGGGTACATACTCCAGCCACTGGCAACAAGCCCACAAGCGAAGTGGTGACCAATAGCAGTCGGCTCAAGGCGGAGGGCGCCAAGGTCCGCGTGCCGGGCCAAAATCAAACATACGATTGTTTGGGCCAGGGGGCAAAAGCCGAGGCAGATCAGGTTATATTCCAGTGGTTGATTCCGGATTCTGTTCAACTATCGCCATTTTCAATACCCAGCTGTTGCCCTTGGGTTCTAAATGGTTTCCTGAAGAAATAAGATTTAGTGACGGGTGAAGCAAGCAAATTTCGATCTTACAAAGTTTGCCTGGGTGTGCCCTCGGCATCAACCACTCCAAGAAGGATTTCGCCAGATGTTGCCCAGCTGAAAGGCCACATTCCGCGTTAAAAAATAATGGTGCATCCTCTCTCTTGGCCTGCTAATAGTTGGTCTTAGCCAAATTAAAGTTGCAAGAATAGGATAGGCTCTATCGGATACACATGGGTCTGTCTCCAACTAAAACAACCCTTTGGGGATGGAAACAAAGAGGAAACTAACCACCTAGGGTCCCCGACTTTGAGAAGCACCCGCATTTTTTGCTTGTAGCCTTGCTGTATGAGTTCTACCTGCCCACACAGGCTGGCAGCCCAGGCAAGGTGCCAGCCGTTTGTGGGACGGGTAGCAAGAAATGGGTGTAGCTCAAAATTAAACAGTTGGGGTTACGCAGGTAGTCTTTGTCTCCATATACCAATTTGCCATTTTGGTACATTTTCTTGAGCCACAGCCAAATCGCAGCGGAGAAGCAGCCAACTGACAGCCACACCCGACTGGATGCGCTGCCATCCTGCACCGCATGCTCCATGAAACGGAGCGGGCTAGAGGCCGATGAGACGGCGGAGGCCGGACTTGTTTGTGCCATGCTTGAGACACAGCAAACTGCCCCTGGACCCTGGCCATAGGTGTCCTTTTTGGTTGTTTTGGTCGAAAAATAGAGGGTGATTCCCTGGTTTGCCTGGTGGTTTAATCATCTACCAGGGCCATCCATTTGCCCCAAAAGGACACCTATGCCCCTCACGAAATGTTTCAACTTGATGGAGATGAAATCCAGGGATCGCCGGCTCCCTTCAGACAGGCACTTTCCTCTCTTATCTCGCTTGCCCAAACCCGACCTTTTGACCTGTTGGTTTTCCCCTTTTTGGGTTTCCAGTTCTAGTCATGGCCCCAAATGTTGACCTTTTGTTCTGTGTCCAATCTGAAAACTGGGTTATAGTGGCAACCGGAGCAGGTCAACCTGAACAGTTGGTTTTCCCTTTTCTAGTGATCGCGCAAGTCTCTGCTTCTCTGAACACCGGGTGCCGGGCGCGAAACGGGAAACGCGCTTCCGTTGCGCTGGGCTCGTGGGCGGGTTTTTTTGGCAGTGATGTGAACCACAAATTGGTGTCGTCTTGACCCAAATGCCCCCAATGAACATTCAGCTCAAGTGGGATGGCTGGCGGAACTTGTGCCCAAGCACGTGCGCCTAGGTGCCACTGCAGCATATGGCTATGAGTTTAAGTGGGGAAACCACCTCACAAGTGGTTGGTGGACATAAAGCCCCGCCTAAATGATGTCCACCAAAGGGCCCCCTATTAAAATTCACCCCCGATATTTTGCGGTGTGGTCTCGGGGGCCGGCGACGAAGTCGTTGGACGCAAGTCTGAGCTTGCCAGCGCGCGCCAGGACGTGTGCCGGCGCCGCTTGCTGCAGGACAGCAGCTGCTGCCTGAACCAGGAGCACAGCTCCTCAGTGGTGCAAAGTCGCCGCAGTCGCCCAGGACTGCCACAAGGAAACTGGGATCTCTGAGTTGTTTTGCTAAATATGGACCAGAATTAAACATCGCATTTTTGGTTGGGGACCAACGCCTTTTGGTGGGATTGCCTGCTGGCTCACAGAGGGGTCCTAAGATTGGTCTCGGAGGTTTTGTTTGATTTGCCCAACGCGGAGACTGTTTGTCCTTTCGGCTTTGTCATTCTTGCAAGTGAGTTTTGGATGGTGTTTCAAGAGCTGTATGAAGGGATTTGCTTCCATTCGTGGTCCCCTGTTTGCGGTCACTGCCAAATGTGAAGGTGGCACAGGGTAACTAACCCCAAAGTACCGGTCGATTGCTGGACGCGGCCGGTGGTTGTTCAGCCTAGGTGTGCGAATGCGAACGTCATTTGGGTGCTAAACTATGAGCAGTTCTGCGGTTGTGAAGCAACCACAAGCTACCCCGCCATCCAATGGAAGGGCCACAAGGTAGGCATGACGAGTTCTTTTAGTGTTCTTATGATTGTTGGCCCAAGTCCCGCATTGGGCAGTCGAGTTGAATCCCATCACAGTGGGAAAGCTGTCAGACCCTATGGAATAAATAGTAGATTTGCTGCTCAGAACATGTGACAAAGTGTTTTAGCAGCTTTTGTCAGCCCTGTTTTGTTTGTACAGGCTGCAAGGAATCACAGTGATTTCTCATTATATACATCAAAACAATGTTTATGAACGATGGATGGATGAAGCAACTTTGCTTGCCTGCTTGCTTGCTTGCCTGGTTGGCTGGTTGGGTGTTTTAGTCAGCTTCTCGCACGAAATCCCAATAGCAGCAAACTACAGCCTGGGTGGCATCAGGGGCATGAGCGCCCAAGAGAAGGATCGCAATGTTACCAGCAATGGGGAAGCAACTAATGTGTAGGATTGTCTGAATTCATTCCCACCAGTGCTGTCAGCCCCCTTTTCCTGGTTTCCGCAAATCAGTGTTAACTTTGGAGCCATACAGACCCTTGTTGGAGGACCCCTCTATAATCCTCTATAGCTCTGAGCATTGCTCTACTAAAAAGGCGCCACCCCAGAGTAGTACGGTCCTCCTCTTGCTTCATCCGAAGTTCGCATCGGAGTTTCCCCATGTCTTCCCACGCCTCCATCTCAGCTCTCGGCGTTTGCTCGCCAAAAAAAGAGAGCGCCCACCGCGTGTTTTGTTTCTCGCAGGAACGGCCTGGGAGTGCAGCAACGCGAAGGGCTGCCTTGATGAGACCGAAGGCCTCAGAGGAGAGGATTTGATCCTCAGCTTCGGACTTTTGCTTCTTCTTCTTCCTGCAGCGGTCGGTGGATGGGACGAAGTTTTTTCAGGCACCACCGTCCAGGAACCCGGGAAGGATGGGATTCCCCGGGGTAAATGCCAAGAAACGTTATGGTTGCCCGTGGTTTCAAAGTGGTGCGAAATGGATTTCGTCCATCCACTGTATGTTCATTGGTTTTCCAAGGTTTGCCCGAGTTTAAGGAATGTTCTCTGACACCCTGGGGTTACACAGGGAAAATGGAACAACGTAGTGCAACCTAGCAAGTGTCATTTCGACATCGCCAGGATGGGTTTATTTCCCAGTGGGTGTAATCCCAGGATGTAATAGAAATAATTTCCCAGTGGGTGTAATCCCATAATGTAATAAAACACTCTTGTTTTTGGCGTTATGCAAAACCTTTCGGCAACTGAGAACTATGTCTGCTCAGCAAGTGAGGATCTCTATCCCGTTGGAGGCCAATTGTGATTGCCGGATCCTTTTCGTGCATGGCGGCGCCTGGTACTACGGGGCCCCCTGGACGGACGGCTACAGCAGCCTCTCAGATGCCACCAGTTCCACCTTTTTAAGTTTTGCTTTACAAAGTTAGGCTTACCCAGGTTGCCCCGTGTTCCTTTTTGGAACCTCGAAATGTGGCAGTTTCCATGGAAACTACCATTAAACTTCAACTTCCGGAGGAGAAATCCAGTGACCCCTGTTAGTTTCGCTCATTCCAACCGGTTCCTCCCCACGGATGCTTCTCTGAAAAAAAAGGCCCCTCCCCCCACCCCGACCCCCCCGCCCCCCGCAACCCACAGAAACAGATCGATCTTTGAAGAGAACCATAGGCTGAAGGGAATGGGAATGAACTCTTGCACTTACACGTAGGCTTTTCAACCGGGAGTCAAACTTGCATCTTTGCTTACTTGTTTAGTGACGGGGCTTTCAAGAAAAGAAATCGGTGTCCAAAGTTGGGGTTTCCAGGACCCCGTCCTCAAAGTCCCAAAAGGCTAAGCCTTTCTTTCGGTCCTTTGACTGTTAGGTCTCGCATCTAGACTGGCCAGCATGACGCGGTGCATCGTCATGGTGCCAGACTATCCGCTACTCCCAGCGGGGAGCGTTCATTCGATTTTGGACGCCGCGGTGGCCGCGCTGTGCCTCGGCGGCAAGCCACCCCCCAAGCGTAACCTGGGGCGGAGCCTCAGGATGGTCAACTAGGATAAGCCTAGGATAGATCAGCAAGGTTACGCATATCTCGTAGACCCCCTAGTGTTCCCTTGACTGATGTGAATCCATATGAATTCGCACCCAATGTGAAAAGTGGTCAAGCAAACATAAATTATCCCAGAGCCCCATGTTGCTTTGGTTGTGGCATGATGTGAGCCAGCACTGGTTGAGACCAATAAGGGAATAAGTAGGAACGCAGTGGTCGATTCGCATCCGGTTCGACTTCCTTTGTGCAAGTCATGGCGACCTCACAAAGGCGCCCTGCACCCTGACACATGCTGAGGGTTCCTTTCCTAAAAGTCCCAAATTCCAGGTGCAATTTTCGAGGTCCATGTAGGTCTGGTACGTTCCCATCGGCCTGTTTTAGACATTCTTCCTTTGGGTTAGTTTAAGTGGGATGATGTTTCAAGGGGCACCGAATTGGCTGGTCTTTCGTGGGGCAGCTACTGGACTGTGTTCTTCCCACGTACTACCCAATGAACCTGCAAGACCTCAGATTGTCTGGCTCAAAATTAAACAGGAGGGGTTACGCAGGTTTTGGTCCATGTTTCCACTTACCAGGGTTCCATTTTGGTACCGGTTTTTTGAGCCACAGCCATATTGTTTGGCTGACTCGTGCGCAAGAAAGTCAGGCAAGCGCACGCTGAAGGATTTGTAGCACGCGGCCCCCAAAACATCAAAGCCAGGCCTACAAAGCTTGTCTGCCATTGCTTCACTGTTCTTGGCATGTTTTTTAGTTCTTTTAGTTTGTTTGGTTCTGTTCCTTTTTACTGGGGGTCTGCAAAAAGCAAAGTTTTTTGCTACCATACCAAGAGTAGACATGGTTGGATCTTGACTCTTTTCTTGAGACATCAAGAGGTTTTCCACGAAACTCAATCAAGTAAAGCACTTCTTGCAGAGGGGCCTACAGCAACCAAGAAAGCCCCAAGCTTTGTAGGCGGTTTGCAAGCTGGACAGGCAGTGGGTGTCTAGCTGTCTTACTTCTGTGGCTTGCGCTCGGGGCATAGCTCAGGGTGAGCCGGGGGTGAGTCATCCTGGTCGCAAAGGACCCGAAAGGTACTCCATTTCCCGGTCCGGAACCCAAGGATTGAATGAGTTTCTGACTTGGAGCCATTTAAGACCATGCTGAGACCATACAGATTTGAGACCATACACACTTTAAGTCCATTCGGATGCAGGCCAATTGGTACTTTGCATACAGCTCCCACCGGTTGGCTTGTCTTTGGTGTGACCCCCAAGGCCTTAATGGCCTATTAGGCCTTGTGGAAACAGCTCGCTACCAGTATAATTGTCAACAACAAGCTTGGACTTTTTCCAGCCAATCCACTCCTTCGCAAGCTGAGACACATGAGTTTTCCACGAAACCCGCGCAGAGGTCAGCGTCCCGTTTGTCGTGCTGGGAGCAACTTAGGAATATATATTTTCCTGTGGGTTTTAAAGGGAATCGATTTCACTACCGGAAATACGGCATCTTCCTTTTTTCCAGGAAAACATCTTCGCCTTTTCCGGACGACTTCGCTTCCGGCGCTACGATTCTCCTGAGGCGGCACCTCGCCTCAGAGGCCCTCTGTCAGGGCACAGGTCCGGTGAGGATCTTCCTGGGGGGCGACTCCGCGGGCGGTGCCACCGCACTCAGTGGGGGACCTCAGCTTAGGGTGAAGTGCCGAGGAAAAATGCGACGGTCGAAGGGTGGCAGCACATACCCCTTGTTCATACCCCTTGGCTTCCCTTGTTTCCAACCCAGTTTGTAAGGGATATATACCCCTTTTGGGGAGAGGGGTGTGAACATCAGCAGGCCTTTTGGGTTCATTTGTCCAAGGGGTATGTAAAAGGGGTATGTCCAAGCCAAGCACCCTTGGACGACGCCGGGCGCGTGTTTCTGTGCGGGTGCGTGTGTGTGTGTGTGCCCAGGAGAAACAATCAGGGATATGTTTTTGGAAGGTTCAAAGTTCAAAGTGAAGCCAATCGGAAACAAACCAACTGCGCTTTGAAGCCGTGGCTAACAAGGGGAAACCAATGAGCGTGTACAACGATGCGTTTCTGCAGATTCATGGCAACTCAGGCTTGCTCTTCCGCCTGCAGCAGGCGGCGGATCCGTTGATCCCCCGCGCAGAAATTGCCGGCGCGTTCTTTTGGAGTCCTTGGACCAACCTGGCATCTTGCCTGCAAGCAGTGTCACCGGAGCCACAATCACAACCCGGGTAGATGAAGGTTAGCAAAGGGTTATCCCAATCATCATTTTGGGTGCAGCCACCCTTTGAATTCCTTCCATGTCTGTGGGCGGACCACTTTGATACAAGGTTTTGATTGACTCCCCCTGTTATTTGGGAGGGTTGCCTTTTAGATGATCCATTTGCTGTCCGGTACCTCCAGTGCCCCCGAGGGGTCTTGACACCAAGGGTGTGCTTTTTTTCTGCTTGGCCAGTGGAGGTTCGGGTTTTTGAATGTTGTGGTACGCTTCCCTTCAAAAGATCAACAAGCCAAAGGGGTCCTATGGCAGCAGCCCAGGAAGCCTGGACAGCTTGCGGTCTCTGAGCGGTTGGTTGTTGCGGGGGGGTGTCCCCACAGCAACCAGCAAGAATGGACCTCCGGTGTTTTCCCATGGCTGGGCGAGTAAGAGTCACAAATCATCCATGTTTGTTTTAGCCAATTGTTGGCTTGGAGGTCTGGGTGATCAAAGGCCATTGGATTGCTTTGGTTAAAGGAGACCGATCCAGGCATACTAGCTTGGGCCCCATGACGAAAATTCCTTGGCGATTCCTTGACTCCGGCTAGTACAATGTACATGTCTTTGGAGTCAACATGTCATTTTGTTTGGATCTCTACGTTTCATGCATTGTCAGTTCATGGCATCCAAAACATCACCGATCTTTGCATTTTTGAACTGGTTTCATTTGTCTTTGGTTCTGTTGGTTTGTAATCGATTGTAGGGCTTGAGGTATGGTTTAGCTAACGGGTTGGGAGCAACTTTGCCTAAATGTGAGATGCGCTCGGACCTTGGCTTGCCAGCAGTTTGTTGCTAGCCAGAGAATCTTTCGGGTGTCCTTTCTTCCCTCTTTGCACCAGCAAGCAGTTGACCCTTTGCAACCGGAAGCGCAGAGAGGGCCATACTCCTGCCTTACATCTTGACTGCTATTGGGTTGCGTCTTTGGACTTTAACTCTTTCGGACATTACGGCGTTTTCCACTCAACCCCCAAAAAGTTAAACTTTTTGCAGGGGGGTCAACAGCAACCAAGACATGCGAACGCGCTTGGTGATGTCACTGGCATGACAGACCAAACCCATGCCCATGCAGGGAGTCGAAGTCAGGCCCCTTTTTGGGCATTTGATCTCATATTTGTTCTGTGGCCTCGAGCCTTCAGGTGTGGGGGATTTAGTTTGTAGTTCTAGGGGTTGATTCCTTTTCCATTCTTTTTTTCAACTATTGTTCTTGTCAAAAACCAGCTGTTTCCCCGGGTTTTGTGTGGTTTTGTGTGGCTTTGTAGAAAGCGGGATGCCTGGATAAAATGGGGAAGGTACCTCTTGAGTTGGTACCTCGCCCAGGAAGACTGCCATGTTCCTACTGTTGGACACGGACCGCATTCCAGCCAGCAGAAGGTCAAATTTTGCAGGGCTGAAAGGCTTTCGTATCTAATTCTCATGGACCGGCTATTGCCTGTCTTTATTTTTCAAGGGTGAGCGGAACTCGGGAAACGAGGCTTTTGGCAAGCATTCTGTTTGAAGTGGCACACCGCGAGCCCCCTCAGCCCCCCCTTCAGCGGATTTTCCGCAACCGGAAGCAGTGGGACGCGGCCGTACATTCAATTTGGTTCATTTATGCCTGGTGTGCTTGTGATGGTCCTTGATTCTTGGCTCATATATTTACTTGTTTTATTGCTTGTCCTCATCTTTAAGCGGGGGGCTGCCAACAGTATCCCGCTTTTCGCTGTTGAATCTCACTGGCGCGGTCAATCGGTGGGCGTTGCTTCCCAAATCGTCACTTCCCGTTTTCAGAGCCCTTTCAGAACGTTTTTTTTTTTTTTCCCGGCGCTGCAACAACTAGCAAACTCCAGCTTCCCCCGAATGGGTGGCTTAGATTTGTGGTTTGGTGCTAAGAGGGGTAGTTTTCCAGTGACCCTCTACAGGAAGCAGGGTCCAAAGCCCAAACCACCAACCCAAAACACCAACTAAGATTGTGCATGGTTGTTGTTGGGAAACATTTTACATTTTTGTTTTTTGTGGTTTAATGGTAAATCCCCACTTAACTGCTAAAAATCAATTTGTTGCTCCCCTTCCAAGGTCAACCAAGTCTGGGGACTGCAACTAAATCACTACTGCCCCTGGTGCAGTCGAGGCATGTGACACTCCGGAGTACGTGTCGAATGCGTACTCCCGCCTGGGCGCGGGATCGGCCGCCCACACCGGCGATATCCTTTTCAGAGACGCTCGAGCGCCAGCTTATTTCTGCTGTGTTTCCGAGGGAGTCTTGTGTTTCCGAGAGAGTCTAGGTCCCCCAGTAGTGCCCTTTTACCTTTTTTGGGGGAGGGTTCGTTTATAAAATTAGAGTATACAGAAAAAGGGTACCCTTATTCTATCCTCTCTACTGGAAGATCTAGGAAGTTTCACTACAGCCAAGCCACCTCCAATGGCAAACAGGGTATATGCACGTGCTCCAGCCTTGGTCTTGCAAGTGGGCTTGACTTCTGAGAAAAAGTGATGTTACAAGCGCAAAAGTGCCCCCCCCAAACTAAACACACACACACACACACCTTTCCCTAGTAAGGCGTAACACCCCCCCCCGACCCCCCCCCCCCAACCTTTTGGGGGGTGTTTGGTGCACACATTCGGGGAGGTACATGCCCTTTCTGCAGTCGTGGTTGGTATATTCCATTGAACCGTTGGGGAGGTGGATTGGGGTTCCCGCCACTTTGAACTAAGGCTTGTCCATTTGCTCAATATGTGATGCAGCAAGTGGAAGAACCGTCTCGACTATAATTTTGTCTTGACGCCCATGGTGGTTTTGGCAAGCATGTGGCAACAACATGCTTTTGAAGAAGCCGCCTCAAAGACGGATGTCTGGAAATAATGGGGGATCTTAAACGTGGTGGGTGGACATAAGTCCCAATGTGAATCTGGTACAGCAAAAGGGTCTCCAACTCAGATCAACCCCACACTATACACATTAATAGATGTGTGCGCGTGGTTTGCCGCTACCCTCGAACCCTCGAATTGAATCGTCGAATTGTGTAAGGCTGGTTGGAGGGCAAATCAAAGGGAACACCCATTGACACATGTGTAAGGCAGGTCGAAAGGCAAATCAAAAGGAAGACCATTTGGGCTCCCCTATTTCGACCTTCAGCTAGATTTACTGGCTGATCGCTGGTTTCATGGGCTTTGCGTTGCATGAGGACGAGCCCGCGACAAGCAGAGCTCTGTTCGGGAACAACTCCCTCGCCTACGTGGGAGGCGACACGCGCTTGCTCCGGGACGCCCTGTACTCGCCGTTCTTTGCCCACAAGGACTGGCGCATGGCGACGTGATGTTGTGAATCTTGAAGGGTCCTCAAACGGGTGAATTGTTTGCCCCCCAAAGCGACAAGATCACTACACTCTTCTGGTGGTACATTTGGTTCCTTCCTTTTTAAGGCCCCCCCCAAACGCGCTGCGTTGTTTTTCTGCGGCCAGCACTTTTGGTTTGCCCGGAGACTCTCTTCCAGGGGGTCTCACGCGCTCAGATTCCTGTGCGCCTGCCAGCGTTTTAGTGCCCGCGCCTGATATCGAACGGTCTGTTCTTAGAACATCGGCAAGCCTTCGCCAATGCGCGCGCAACTGCGCAGGGTGCGGCTTTTCGATGGGTCACTATGTGGATTTTTGGGACTACCCTTGGCTCAGCAAGTTAGAAGGTGACAAGTGAAGCTCCACACTCCTAAAGTGAGGGTTTGAGGGCAAGTGAACCCCAAAGTGAGGGTTTGAGGGCAAGTCAAACCCCAAAACTACGGGTGGTTTGGCAAGAAAACCCCCAAACCTGAACCGCAAACCTGAGCCCCAAAAATGGGGGTTTGAGGGCAAGTTAAACCACAAAACTAAACCCTAAACGGGTGGTTTGAGGGCAAGCTAAACCCCAAAACCAAACCCTAGTTTGAAGCAAGTTAAACTTTAAACCTGAACCCCAAATGAGGGCAAGTGAAACCCACAACCTGAACCCTAAAGTGAAGGTTTGAGGGCAACTTAAACCCAAAGTTAAACCCTAAACGGGTGTTTGAGGGCAAGTTAAACCTTCAACCTGAAACCTAAATGAGGGCAAGCAAAACCCAAAACCTGAACCCTAAAGTGATGGTTTCAAGGGCAAGTTAAACCCAACACGAAACCCTAAACGGAGCGGGTTTGAGGGCAGCCAAACAAGCCAAAGGCCGGAAAAAGACGAGAAAGTGCAACAAAGTGGTTCTGGGCGAACCACACGTGCTGCGGGTTTTTCTGCAACAGGGTATCACGGTTTCTTCTGGCACTCTCACAAGCAGGCGACATTGCTTCAACACTACCTTTCAGGTCCGCTTTACAGGGCGACCTAGTTGTTCGACCATGCGTACATGGTCAGGGTTGTTTATTGGGGAACCACCTCAGAAGTGGTTGGTTGGTGGACATGAAGGGTCTCGAGCCAAGAGTGCGCCTAATATGAGACTTGCGGGATAGCACGAGAGAGAGAGAGAATGGGTCTCGAATTAAAGTTCATACCCAAATAAGGTGGGTCTTTTTGTTGGGGGACCCCGCAAAATGGTTGTTTCCCTTTTGGTTTTCCTTTTGGTTTTCCCTTTTGGTTCCCCTATTTCGATACACCCAAAACCAAGTGCTTGGCGCAAACTTTCCTTCCCCGAGCCGAGGAGCTACTCGCGGGCGCTCCTCCGCTGTACTTCGCGGTGGGTTCTGCGGAGGCAAGGGGGGCGGATCCATCAGGGAGCCCAAGCACACAAAAAGCATCTGGAAAATAAGGAAAGGGGAAGAAGACATGTATCTTTGTTCCTCACCGCCCTATCTTAAATACATGTTTGATCTTTCCAGCTCCACACAAAAATCCAAGGTAAAAGGGCGGTTCTTGAAACGCTGGTTGAACAACCTTGAAAGCAACACTATTTGGGTTAGCTCCAATGTTCTGTTAAACCATCTTTTGCACAACCCGTTATTTCATATCCAGTGGTGTGTAGCTGCAGTGCTCTGATCATTTGTTGTCGATGTTCCTTTTTGACGGAGTTTTCCGCATTCACTTGTTGTTGGCATATCAGGGGCTGGCCAGAGCGGCTGGCTCTCGCAAGGCTTCTTCCTTTTGTGCCTCCGGGCCGTGCTAAAGTAGTCCACCCATTGGGCCGGAAGTCGGTACTTGCAGGTTGGTTTCTGATTTGGCGCATCCCGTTTTTCAGCCGCTGCCGAAAAAGGCTATCGTTTCATTTTAGTGTTCAAGTCCTTTGCGCAAGTGCGCAAATTAGCAGGTGATAATAGGGGGTTGGCAACACACCAGTTGCCATAGATGCCTGATAAGGACCCAGAATTGTTGAACCCTCTTTTTGACCTCTCCTTCAGCAAGCCGTTTCTGACAAGCAATAGGTTTTCGCATTTGTGTCCTTGGAATGGCCTAAATCGACTACGACCCAGCACGAGTCCTGCCTTTCAGGAAGCCTGGACCCAGTTTGGCGTTCTTCAGAAAGTCTTAGTCACAGACCAAGCAGCGTGATCTTGGTGGTTCCCAGCCATTCCCTTAGCTTTTTAGCTTTTTAAGGTTTTAGTGGAGACTTCCATTTAACCCACCAAAAGTTAAACTTTTAGCGGGAGATCTGAGGGCGACCCAATAATATGTATCCAATCTATCAATTTGGCACATGGGACCTCACCATGCCCACTAGGAGGACACCATTTGTTTGGACATAGGGTCCCGCAGCCCTCACCATTCGGTTTTTCCGCGATATGGGAGTTTTTTTTTCCGGTGTGTGAACTGGTCAATTCACCCAGATGTTCCTGCTTCGCACGAGGGGTTCATACCAATAAGCTGGGTTTTGTATCATCAATGAATACTTCTTTTGATAAACCAGGGAGTTCGTGGCAATGAAACTAGGGTGATACTTGACTACATCATAGATTGATTGATAACTCGCTAATACGTCGACTGCGGGGGTCAACGAATTCACCCAGGAGCTATGGATAGCCTGCACAGAAAGAGAGAGAGAGAGGGAGATCGAGAGAGATATGGAGATGGAGAGAGATAACCTCTTAAGTTCAACTAGTGTTTGTATCATTCATGGCTTCACCTATAAACTCAGGGTTTCACATACGTACCAAGCATACGGAAACCACTGGGCATCCATTTGTGGATGTTCGTTCGTGATTGTGATACAACGTATGGCCCCATCCGCCGACATTACAGTTGGGTGAACGTAATGAATGTAGATGGCATCACCCCAGCCACAATAATATTTTCTCACCCTGGTTTTAATCACGATCCCATCGCAAATCTTGGGTCTACCTGGGTTTGACCAAGGAACGATGATACCGTGATTGACTCCCTGAGTTCCGTTTCGTACTTTAGTCAGTAAAAATGGTTTGGACCATTTAGTGGCAGTCCCTTTGCGGAAAATACCACAAGTTCGGTTGGTTTTCGAGGGTTGGGTGAAAAAGTGGGGTCCAAACTCCAACGAAAATAGCAAGTTCGGTGAAAAATGACAAGTTTTTCCGTGGGTAAATAGCAAGTTCGGTGCCAAATTTCCTGAGGCGATCCTGGGGGACTCCACCATCCTGGCCCAGAAGCCCGGCTTTCGTAAAGGTTCTTTGTTTGGCGGGTGGGGATCTCTTTTTTTGGGGTTGGTGATAGTTTTTTCTGCACACAGGGGAGTGCTTGGGATTCAGACTGACCCAAAGGTTGCAGTCTGGCGGTTTTCCTTGCTTGTTTTTTTTTGCCTACTTGTCCAACGGGACTTGAACTTTAGACCGGTTTGCCTTGCTCGGCGTTTGGTTTTGGCGCCAAAGCCAGCCCTTTTATTTGGCTTTTCAGGCAGCTTGAAGTGAAGCAAGCTTACAAGAGATACAGGAGTTTGCCCCCGGAAAGGTTCCGGAGTTTCAGGGGAAAAATTGTCTCGCTGGGGATACTCCCCTAGTTGGTGGTTTGGATTCATGGTTTGGGGGATTAAACCCCAGTTCCTGTTGAAACCAACTGGGAAACTATCCCCCGAACCTCCAAACCACCAAACCAAGCCACCAATCAGGGGCAGTGGCAGTGATTAGACACGCAATGAGCTTGTGGCTTCCCGCGCCAGGCGCCGTTTTGTCTGATGCAGCGTTGACGTCGGGCGTGGCAACGAGGTGGTGACTTGCTCTTCAGTTCTGCCTCCCTTGTCCTCCGTGGCAACAGACAGTTTGCCAAGGCAGCAACAAGTTCAACTGCTCACAGGTCAAGGTCCGAGCCAGATCACTTGCACTGTGCAACTAGTTCATTGGGAAAGCTTTTTTCCCGTGATGATTGTCTCTTGCTCGGGGGCTTTTATGATCTCACACACCCAAAGCGGATCGACCTTTTGACCTCTTGGTTTCCGTGTTTGGCACATCTTTAGTGCACATTGTATTTCTGGGTCCAAACTGGGAAGCTGAGTTATAATAGCAATTTGCACAGAGATTGAGTCGCATTCCCTTGCCCCTTTGCATGAGGAAGGCAGCAGCTTTTGGTGTCCCGGTGGTCCTCGACATTTTCCAAGGCACGTGGCTGGGGATTGAGGAGGACCCTCCGGCTCACAGACGTAGAGCCCACCAGAGCATCGCATTTAAAGGAAACTGTAGCTAGTCTTCATACAGGCCCAATATCCATGACCTAGGTTTATAAGCAGTCTGCAACTGTATATATAAACATGTGCATATGTATGTTTATTATGAGGCAATTGAACACAGATATAAACATGTAGGTGGTACATACTTGGGCACAGATTCCCCCCCCCCCACCCAAACGAAAAAAGGGAATATATAAAGCCACACACAATCTTCGAGGGTCCCCCAAGCAAGTACCCATGTTGTTTCACAACATAAGCAGAACATATGTGGCATGAATCAGGGCAACGCACCCCTATGTGTTCAGATTTTCAGTCCCTGTTTCTTGTTTCTTTGTCGGGTGGGTTTCGCACCTGGCTGCTATTGGGTTGGATCTTTAGACTTTAACTTTTTGGTTGAAATAAAGGTGTTTTCCACGAAACCCCCAAAAAAGTGAGAAGCTTTTTGCAGGGGGTGTCGTTACAGCAACCGAGTTTACATCCTTCGGATTGCGGCGCTTGCGTGTGCGCGAGGCATGTGGCACGACTTCCCCATGTACTCCGAGGGCTGCGGGGCCTCGCTTCCCCTGTGGCAAGGCGTTTGGGGGGGAAAAGGAGTGGCAGGAAAATCCCGTTGAACAAATGAGAACCAAATCCCCGAAAAAAATGAAAAAACAACAACGGCGAGTTGTATGGAGGTCAACGTATTTTTGCGACTAAGTCAACACGTCATCCACATGCATAAGGTAAAAGACCGAAAAGCCTGTTGGCTTCCCCAGAATCAGTTCCCCTTTTGGTTTTTGTTTTTTGCTTTTTTGGGGTGCCCTTTTTGCTTTCCACTAAGGCAAACAAAAACTTTTTGCTGGGGTCCTCATTCCAGCCAAGGGTTGAGGACAAAAGCACGGGAATTCCAAGGCTCGCTTCCTGAGTTCCTGGACTTTTTACACTTTTTTGGGAAGACAGTTTTAGTGATAAATAAACAGCTCAGACCTTTTTTGACCAATCCACTCAGGAAGTGGCAAGCCTAGGCACCCCGAAGAATGTCTTCACTTAGAAAGTACTTTGAGGGTTAGTCGGGCTTGGTTCTGTTTATATTTGGTGGGCTCAGTGAAAAAACACACACACACACCAGGAAAACCTTGATGACACCCAAATAACAAGCCCAAAATCCACTTGTTGTGTTGTTACATTATTGTTGGTTGAGAATCCAGCTAAGCTAAGAGTTTAGCACGTTTTCAAGCTGCTGTGTCTTTTTTCTCACAAAACTGGGCATGAAAGACAACTTTGCGTCAAAAGGTTTTGGCCAAGATGAGATTTCATGGCGCAGATGTCCTTGGGTGTGGTTCTTCTCCAATGGGCAAGCTACACGTGATGTTTGTGATTCAGCCACAAAAGTACTTAAGTGTTGAACGCTTCTTTGCTGTTGGCCTGTGGTTAATTGCGTTTTTGTTTGCGGCGAGAGAGTCTTTGGGATATACAGCCGCCACTGTATAAAGGGTATATGAGGGCAGTGGTTTCGGGGGAGCCGTGTACATTATTCGAACAATAACACAGCAGGTGTGCCTGACGGGTTGCTAATGCGCTTGCACGAGAACAGGGTGTGCAGCGAGTTTCCGAGGGGCGGGAGGGGGGGGGGGCATCCTTATTGACCCTCAAATTAGGCGGGATTTTGGTGTGTTTCAAAATAGGGGTCGACTTTCTAGAATTGTTAGTTTCCCTTTGGGTAGTTGGAGCAGGGAAAACCATTAAAACACCCATCAGCTACCAGGACCAGAACAGGCGCTAGAAACCCGCAGCCCTGTTGGTTTCCCTTGGGTACCAACCAAACGGGGGTCCGCCGTGCAGGAATGGCTTTTCGTAGGCTTATCCTAGGTGCCATCGACCGCTCCCCATACACCGTTCACGAAGGCCCGCTAGGTTGCTTTGGGTACGTTAAAGTGATTTACCGTGTGCCACATAGACCGTGTCACATTTGTAAGCAACAGAAAAGGGGGGATGGGTATTTGTTCTTTTGCCGGACTCCCACCCTATTTAACATCCTGCTTACATCTTTTGGGGAGGTCAATGCTTCAGCCAACTTGTCAGACTTCGAAGGTGTTGCTTGAATGGATTCTGTTGCTTCCTTCGGCGTTTTCCTCAGGCCAGCGCGCCTGGAACAATACTGCGGAGTTCATCCGAAGCGTCGCAGAGGCGACTTCCGAAAACAGAATATGGGTAAAGATAAAACCACCAGGAATCGGACCGCATGGTCCATGTGTCCATTTACCAGGGTTCATTTTGGGTACCTGTTCAGCTTTTCAATCCGTTCTCCGGGTCAAAAGGAAACAATTCGGCCTCGTTGAACATTTGAGGCTGCTTGGGAGGATTTTTGCGTGAATCAGGTGCTGCACCGCCTGAAACATTCCCCCTCCTGCCTGGAGGGGATGCAATGTTTGCCCCCGAATCAATTTATTCGAAGGTCTTTGCATCGCCTCCCCCAATGAACGAAGAAGAAGGCATTTATGCACGCCTGCAAGGTGCCTCATGGCCCTTTCTACTAGGGGCTGCTACGGCGGCACGGAAACGCAGCAAGCATTGTCCAAGAGTGTCCGCCGCCCAATTTGTGAGCTTCCTGACATGTGCCCATGCAGCGCATGGATACTGGAATGGGGGAATGCTCAGCAAACACCCGGTGGCTAAATGCAGGGTGAGCCCTTCTTCCCACCTTCAAGTAGGGGGGTGGTCCGAATATTTCCATTTCCAGGGTTTCATTCCACCTGGAGTTCGTTCCAAGAAGTCGGGGTCAAGCCGATCTGGGGCCGGCAACTTCGATCACGGACCATGGGGCATTCGCGTTTTCTGGGAAACATCCAGGGGTTTCCAGTTGTCAACACCTATCAGCACGAGGTCCCCCAGTGCCCGACCTCTCACCCCTTGGTTGGGAGATTCGGTTCCCCTACTCAAATAGACTAAACCGAAGAAAGAAACGGTACCCTTAGTCTACCCTCTCGAATCTAGAGGACCTACTGTGGATGGACAAAGTCCTGCACCAGTTTGAAACCAATGGAAACCATTGTTTGTCGGTATTTACAGGGGAATCGAATCATTCCAGGGTTTCTTGGGTGGTGCCTAAGAGGACTTCGCAACCACCCACAGTAGGTAACAGGTCCCTTGAAATGGACCAGCGGCCCACTTTCACCAGGGTAGCAAAGGCCCACAGGCGGCACGAAAGTGCACACCAGTCGGAAAGAGTTGCACGGCTCCAGTACAGGGAGCCAAGGGGGACAAGGGCATCATGTCAAACCTACACTAGGTCCCCCCAGTAGTGCCCTTGTACTCTATTTTTGGGGGGGACGGTTCCCCTACTAAAATAGACTTACCCTTATTCTGCTAGAGGACCTAGCGCAGCACAAGCACGAGCCCTGTGTTTGGCTTCCCCCCAGTACACATGACTGGGAGCATTATGCGCCTAACTAGTGCAAGATGTTGTCTTGGTTGTTGTTGGGAATCATTTTACGTTTTTGCTTATTGTTGTTTAGTGGGAAATCCCCACTTAACTGCTAAAATTTCATTTTTTGCTCCCCTTCCAACGTCAACCAAGTTGTTCACAGTGTCGACCCGGTTTTGGACGCTTGAGCAAGGCGGCGCAATTGACGGCCCATGGCCCCCACAAGAGTGGACTTTGCAGGCCGTGTCTAAAGAAGAGACCGGCGTTTCCAGTTACCATTATAGTGGGAAACCAGGGTTTTTCATTCTACTCAGGTCTTGTCCATAGTGAAACTCCAGGCTGCCTAGATTCCAAGAATGGCTTGCCCAGAGGCTCTGGTTTCATTTCTTTTTTCAGCGGCTCTGGTTGCACCGGGTTCGTTCGGTTGCTTTCTGCTCGTCGCCCAAACTCTGAGGCGAGCAACGTCGGCGGATCAGCAGGTTGGCCATTGACTCGGTACATCTATGATGAGTCCTTGGCCCATCGGCGGGGCTGGTTCGCACAGGCAGCTCCGCGGCAAATGATTGGGCTCGTTGGTGTTTTTGGGGAGAACCGGGACCCCTCAAATGGCCCCGCCGGGTTCCTTTTAAGGTTTCCCTGCAATTCCAACCAGCAGAGGGTACCCTATAAAATGACACACCCTACATGTCCCCTTGTCCGTCCAAGCGACTCAAGTTTTAATTCAGCTTGACCTTGGGGTTTTTTCAGAGTGGCTTCCGAGGAGGCAATTCAAAGACACACCCACAGCAGGTGGCAACCAAGGAAAGGATCGCACAAATACCCCTTGCCGCGTACGCCACGTGTTTCTCAAGAAAGCCCTGGAGACCATCCCGGTTTGCTGTTAGACTCTGTGGCCCAGAAAGTTATGGGCGGCCAGCGGATTCTTGCTTCTTTAGTGTTGCTGATGGATGAATGTCCTTTTCCCAGTTAGTGTTAGAGGAAAGGGGTCATGACTTACAGATCGTTTTCCCCCTGCAAGACAACCTTGGTGCTCGATAGCCTTTATATAGTTTAATTTCCCGAAGGGCATCAAAAGGACACGGGTGATGTTGGTTTTCAGGCCATCTCTTTTCCACCCAGAAGACAACGAGCCAAGGCGCATTCCTTCGCTTGGAAGCCAGGCAGCTCGTGCACATCTGGGAGCTGGCTGGGCTCGCTGAGTTGGCTCCTGCTGCTTGGGCCCATAGGATCCATCCCCACGCTCCCCACGCTCCCACGCTCCCCCCCCGGCCTCCTCCCATGGCTTCCTCCTTTGCCGTAAGAAAGCCTTGAAGTTGGATTTGGTGTGGAGTGTCAGGGATTTGGTGTGGAGTGTCAGGTTGGACCTGGCTGGGAATGAAATGAAATCAAAGTGTCCTCTGTCAGCCTTAGCAAGGAGTGAAACTTGATTAAAGCATGAGCATGTAGGTCTGCCAAGCAGTTTAAAGAGAGGTCCCACACTGGACAAAAAACATGGCCAAGCAGTTCACTGTTTAGCGTATATGTACTGAGCTGGCGGAGAACAAGCTTATGCTCAGTCAGTTGGGCTCAGTCTTTGACTTGCCAGCGACATGTGAAAACGCCAAAGCTCAAATTCATGCGCTGCGCGCCAACCAAGATTCATTCCTAGGATTCCGACCCACCTTCTAATGCTGGCGAAGAAGAATGTGAGGGCTCCTCCACGCATGTTCGGCTGCCTTCCTTGCTCTAGAGGCATGTTCTCAGGCTTGGGTTGCTTCGTTCTAGATTTTTTTGGATGTGTAGAGGAAATCCTGATACTTTGGACCACCTATGGACTTCCACTAAAACAAAGCTAATTGGAGCATTTGCTAGGTGAGCCAAGGTGAGCCACTGATTCTGAGACTCTGACGTATTGGGTTTGCATTTGGTTGCCGTTGCGTTTCGGGCCATTCCTGCAAGGTGCCTCAAACAGGTTTCCCACTAATCTGCGGGGGAATGCTGTATAACTGCATAACTTTCCATTCGTGTTATTTTCCCCTTGTTGGTTTTAAGCGGAATGTCTCACTACTTATTGTTCCATTTGTTCCAGGAGACTTATATAAGCAGATGGATGGTAAAACTTTGGCATGAAACCGCCGCTAGGCCACGGAAAGGCTGGAGGTGGCGCCCATCATGTTAAGCAGAAAGTCGAACCCTCTCCTAATACAAAAAGGGTTTAAGCTCAACACACGCCCATACGTGGTTGTTGTTGGGAAACATTTTATATTTTTTTGCTTATGGTGGTTTAGTGGGAAATCCCCACTTAACTGCTAAAACTTATTTTTTTTGCTCCCCTTCCAACGTCAACCAAGCATAGATCACAACATTTAGGTGTTGGGGTGATTTTAAAAGTGGTTCCAAGTTCTTGCGGGGTCCCCTTCCGGAGCATGGGGAGTGCCTACCTTGGGGGCTGGGGAACTCCTGATGTGCTGAGCACTGCGTTGGGGTGGATGTGCGGCCTGGTGTAACATTCCCTCGGTGGCGACGTCACAACCAAGCAACGCAGTTCTCACACAGAACATGGAGATAGGGTTTGCAACTTTCTGGGGGACCTAGCCGGAAGTCTGGTGAAAAGGACTGGAAATCCGATAGCAATCCGCAGGAAAGGACCAGCCAAGTAATTCCCATAGTCCCCATATCAAGCCCCGTTTAAGATGGTTTCAAGGCAATACCTTTGAATTTGCAATGCGTTTGAAGGTCGAAGTGCAACATTTGCCACATGAGAGAAAAGGTGAACACCTGCTTGCCTTAACTGCTGCTTAGATTTTTTCGGGGTGGTGTGGGTTTCCTGGTATGCCAAGCTAAGCACCCCGCTGGTTACCCGCGTTTGGTGGCAAAGAGTAGCACAAGCTTGCTCCCACGTTTGGCGGTTTGGGTTGGAGGTTTTTTTGGGTTCCTTCCCATTTTGTTTCAAGCGTCTGCGGGGGGTTCCTCAAGTATGGCCTTAGCAGCTGCTTAGATTTTTTCGGGCTGCTGTGCGATTCCTAAGCAAGCTGCTGCTGGGGTTCAA